CTATAATATTTGAAAATCTAAGTTATCACAGATATAGACATATAAATAAGAAGGTGATTAGAAATAAATATGTGTACCATGATATAGTGAAGATTCCATTAGAGTTAATAAGGTCAAAAACTTTTGTTTAAGATAAATAAACAAATGAAAACTGCATTGACAAGAATTTATCCTGAAGCTAAACTGATTTTTTTGTCCAAAAACAACGTGTTCTTTAATACAATCATAGATCAATAAGTATCCCTTTTATGTTACCACCAACTGTGTGTACAAGTTCACATGTATCTGACAAAGTAGTTACACTGGTGAAACAGAAAGGAGGACCTACGTCCAATTCAAAGAACATATTCCAAAAAGTCTAAGGTGAAATGGATTAAAATTCAGCAGTGCTATCTTGATACGGTACGTTATGTGGATATACTGAAATCTTTCAAGGTGATTAATAGATAATCGAATTCCAATTTTCTGAAGCTATAGAGATAAAACGTCTTGAACCAGATCTGTGCGTCCAGAAAGAAATGGTAATTAATCTTTCTTTTCCATAGTAATATGGCTTTTTTATTGCAGCACCGAACATCTCAACTCTCACGAGTTTTGATTGCGTGATTGTCATTTTTCTTTAATTCATAATTTTCATTCGAATTGACTGATTCCAATTCATATTCTTCTTTATTACCATAAGTCTGTTTCCAGTTACTTCATTACACAATTATGTGCTTGAAAACCTAGTGAAATAAAATCAATTCATGTTATTCTGCATCAATCTCTGTTTTGCTCTCTTCAAAATAATAAAGCCAACTATGTGTGTGAAGTTTGCATTGTGTTCGTTTGAAACGACTAATCTATAAATAGGTAGTATATTCAAGAGTTCTATTTAACTCAAACTTGTGCTACACTCTACATTGATAATGACCGAATAAAATATTTGGTAGTGCTTAAAAATAGAGCGATAACGTCAAATTAGCTTGAACAGATATATCATTACAGTATAATTATTTGTTAATTTCAAGAGAATATTTAATTAAATGTAACTGAAGGATGCTACATTTTTTTGGACCTACATGCCTTTATTAATTTACACAACTATAACAGTTTGTCACTATAATACCTGATAAATAATTAATAATGTGAATTTGTGTAAGCAAAAATTTTTGTTTAGCTCATGACTAATTATTTCATTTACTTGCAGTAAAACTGATAATAGTGAAGTTTAATAATTAGATTTGTATGATTAAACGTCTTAGCTCATGGTCTAATACTAATATTTCACAATCATGCTAACACAGACATACTTTCTTCCATTATTTTTAAACTGTTTAGCTAAAGATCATGTTTATTCTATTCATACTCTGCTAGAAGCGAATTTCCCCCTCCATTAATCTATTGATTATAATGAACGAGGCTGAGACAAAGAAATAATAGGGATGACATTACTTAAACTGCAGTCTAGCCAGATGGTTGGGTATTCAATTTACTGCCCCCAAATGCCCTGGTACGGCCGAGAGTGGAGAGAGTCCGCTCTCCCTTTCGAAATACTCTCACATGGCCAGCGAATATATAGCCTCTGTCAGGAAAGTCCTACTCACTGCCTTCTCGTGGCATCACCGTTGTTTACGAAATTGAGAGGACGAAAAGCGAATGTCCGCCGCTTTAACCGGGTTGGTGGACAAGGCGAGTCCACCAAGGGGAGTTGGAAAACCCTGATTCCAAACCAATAGTGCACATGGGCTCCAGTATCTTAAGAGATCAAATGGCGTATGAACCAATTGTTGGTCACCGTCTACCATGGGACTGCATTTCCTCACGACGTTCCACTGCCTTGTGGGTTAGAACTTTAGGTCAATGGCTCCGAGTGTGACCCCCTAAGAGGACCACCTGTTTCGGTTTGGACACGTGGGCAGTATCACAGCCCTCACACAAATTAAATGAGATTTGTGAGGCGCATATGTATCTGGTGCTTCCTTGTATCAATATTTATGTGTTTAAATGAATAAATAAATAAATTCAATTTACTCAACGATATATGAAATATACAAAGCTTTTATCAACTATATTACGTCACAGAATTTTCCCGTCGAAAAACGTTTGGTAAAAACAGTAGAAGGCTGAACTAACTATCACAGATTATAATTTATCAGTATTAGATGTAGAGTTCAAATAAGATATCTATTGATACATTAAATGTTATAATTTCATATGTGAAGATTTATTTTTAAATCCATATACTTTCCAAAATGTTAGATAATAGTGAATATTTATAATGAATTGTTAGAGTATCTAGAAGTTGTCTCATCGAATTAATTTTAATAATAACTGTATGAGATAAAAAAAATTCGGTAAATCTAAAACCCGGATCTCTCAAAAAAGGGGAGGTGTTGTATCCCGTGGAGAATTATGAATGGTAACTTTGAGAACTATCTATGGACCAATATGATATGTATATTTCATATTGTATAGTTGTCAAGTAACTAAACTACTCATATTCGTGCCCCTTTTATTATGAACTTTATTTTGACCCATATACTATTATAATATGATTTACCATTCTTTAGTTATCCCCAGTCTATTGATTACTGTTGCCCCTATTCACAGCCACATTTGGTTAAATATTGTACAAATGTTAATTTCTATTTTATGGTACGAAGTGGTCAATTTGATTGGTATATAAACTCAGTATGTTTGAGAATAATGATTCATATTGCAGAGGCTGTTATTGGTGTTCTGGACTTAATTAGCTGGGCTAGGCAGAAAGCAGGACGGATAAGTACTCAAGACTGCTTATACGGTTTTTCGTTTATTATTGCTCCGATCGATAATTCGCTCTTCTCTCATTGGCGGGAATCAACACGTTCATATATCAAACAGGGCACGCACGGATCCACACGTTATAACAATGGAATTCTAAATAATATATTTATGTATCCTGAAAGCAATTACAGAATGAATACTCCAGACACTGTCCGGCTGATGAACAATGAAGACAGCACTAAAAAAAATACAATTACATTATTTAGAAAATCGTAATTCGTAAATTCTTATAATTATACGTTTTAATAATTTTGAGCATAAAATGCAAATAAAATGAACAAATTTAGGGTACAACATTCATTTTGAAGTACAGAACCCAATAGTCATATATTTTGTAAAAAAAATAAAGTAAGCAGTATATAATGAACATGAATACAATAATTAGCGTGTGGTATGGTCTACTTATATCCATATAAGTAGTTATTTTTTTTATTTAAACACATAAATATTGGTACAAGGAAGCACCAGACACATATGCGCCTCACAAATCTCATTCGATTTGCTTGAGGGCTGTGATACTGCACAGGTGCCCAAACTGAAGCAGGTGATTTTCTTAGAGGGCCACACTCGGAGCCATTGACCTAAAGATCTGATCCACAAGGCAGTGGAGCATCGTGAGGAAATGCAGTCCCATGGTAGACGGTGACCAACAATTGGTTCATACGCCATTTGATCTCTTAAGATACTGGAGCCCATGTGCACTATTGGTTTGGAATCAGGGTTTTCCAACTCCCCTTGGTGGACTCGCCTTGTCCACCAACCCGGTTAAAGCGGCGGACATTCGCTTTTCGTCCTCTCAATTTCGTAAACAACGGTGATGCCACGAGAAGGCAGTGAGTAGGATTTTCCTGACAGAGGCTATATATTCGCTGGCCATGTGAGAGTATTTCGAAAGGGAGAGCGGACTCTCTCCATTCTCGGCCGTACCAGGGCATTTGGGGGCATATAAGTAGTATATGGTGATGGTTAGATATAGAAGATATTTTGGCAGAAGACCGATAAGGAAAGAACCGAAATGAAGCGCAATTGGTAGGAAAATGCATGAAAAATGTCAGATTTACACCATAGATGGTTCATTAAACAGTGGTTGTACGGTTTCGTGTTACAGTACCCATGTACAGTTCTAACTGGTGGTTGGGGTTACTACATACGTTTTAGTGGATTGTTAATATTGAAATAACACTGTCTATTTAGTAAATTTATTGAAGGGCTTGACAAAATTAGTTGAAAACAAAATTAAATGTAGCAGTGGTGCTATAACCTTATCGTGGATCACAGGTTTTATGTCCAGCTTCATTTATTATCATGGGCATATGGGTAATATCACTCACACAATTAGTGTGACACAAAAATGGGTACATAAAACTTGTAATCAGTAGACAAATTACATTGAATTCGATAATTTTAGTCGGTAATAGCATCTACTTTCTGAATATTTAAGAAATCTTATCCGCTTTGTCAAAACTTCTAAGATATTTTTTGAGTTTTCATCGAACTCCTAATTACAATTTTCTTAGTGTGAAAAAAGTCTTATCACAACAAATAATGAAAAATGCTTCTTTTCAAAATAAATTAATTTATGGGATTTGGACCGTATTATCAATACATTTACCAATATATTTATCAGTAGCTGAGTGAATTACGCGACGGCGTTTGAAGCGAAAGGTACTGTGTTTGAGTCACAGAGTGAACATGAACTCTGGGATGCAGGTACATCCAGCTGACGAGTTCCAAATAGGATAAAATGCGTGTCCTGGAATTCACTCCTAACCGCCATCCAACTGTTTATAATGCTTGTGACCTGATGCCAGTATCGAGGCAATACGCACAGTATGCCCATATGCCAATAAGAGACTAAGCAGTTGCAGTCCTAAACATCAATGGGAAGATTCAAACAAACAATACTAAGTGAATTTATATTTGTACATGGTTAGGTAATTAAGTTATATGGTTGATGTTTTATTAAGTCAGTAACTGAAGTAAACTATCTTATAATCAGAGGTGAATATTCTACAAAGTAGATAAAGAAAATAGCCAATATAAAATGAAACACAATAAAATCATCTTGAATCGCTTATATCACAAACTCAAATTGATGCCTTAAACAAACTTTTCTTAAATACTGTAAAATGGAATATTATTTAAAAATAAATAAATCACCTGATATTTTATTTTCAATCGATTAACCATTTACTTTGAAAATACTAGTGGAAAATCTTCTTCCATCCATATTAGCTAAAATCTTTATCGAATAAGCATTAGGATGTACTATATTTACGTTAGGAGGATTTTGTATTTTTGGTTATTTGGACTCGTTATATTCTACGGAACAATCGCAGTAATCCTTCATGTATATAAACATCAATTCAATATACTAATTGATACAAATAATAATAATAATCAATTAATAGGTTCATTCTATTCAATACTGGCTTGTTTAATGTTAATTAATGTTAGTTTGGCAATTGGAACATTTAAAATTGGCAAATGTTTCTTAATGATCATCTTTATAATAGTTTCTTTAATGATCTTTATTGGTGAAATGTTGTTTCTGATCAAGGTATATCAATATAGAGAGAATGTATTTCTTGGATATCAAATGATAGATAAATTTATAAAAAATTTAGTCAAAGTTTATAATACATGCGAAATTGGACGTTTTATTTTAGATCATATACATATTTACTTTGATTGTTGTGGTTATGATGAATGGCATCGTGAATGGATTAATAACACTAGACAGATATCAAAGAATGATACAAGTCAATTAATAATAGATCATTGGGTACCAAATTCATGTTGTAAAAAGATTTATCAAAGTGATAAATTTTGTGGATACGCGATATATCATACTTTTATTAATAATGATTATTTTATTAAGTTACGTGAATCATATCAACCAATATATATACCTAATAAATGGTATATAAAGCTGAATAATGATCCATGTCCAGAATTAATTTATATTTGGTTAGGTGAGATACCTGTGTATTTATTGATGTTTGGGTTCATGGTTATTGTTGCACGAATACTTTACACTATATATGCTATATTAGATTTTGCTAAGACAAAGAAGTAGAATTTGTGAAATTGATGGACATAATTCTCATATATATAATACGTGTCTTTTAGACATTACATAAAAATAAATTTGTTAATACAAAATCCTTTATTTCTTGATCGAATGTTACAGTTTGTGGGAAAACAAAATAATCTCGAATAAATTGAGAAACTCACTAAAGACATTAAAGAATGGTTGCTCAATTTCTTGGATTGATTGAAGTTAGACATTAACACCGTTGGATGCAGGCTCAGTGGTCTAGTGGTTAGGCGCTCGCGAGCGAGATCAATAAGTCCTGGGTTCGAATCTCGCGAGATGGGATCGTGGATGCGCACTGCTGTGGAGTACCACAATAGGACGAAATGATCTTCCAGTGCCTCCAGCTTGCCCATGGTGGTCTAGCCTTAATTGACTCACGATCTCAACTTTATAAAATTACTAAAATCTCCACATAACCCCCTTCTGACAATGGGTAAAAAGTTAATAGTAAATATATTTATGTTGTTACATCCCAATGAGTGACTTGATGTAAGCCACTTCTGAGGAATTTTCTTACATTAAGTTATGAAACGTCGAATTACAATTTTCCTATTCGTTGAGATATAAAAGAAAATATATTTATAAATAACATAATCATTGGTCAACTATTTTATTTTTACTATGATGATAATATTTATCATCATCTTTCAGTAGGCTTTTATACAAATAACAGCGTCCACTTGCAGGTCACTGAAGTATTATCAGTGGCATACTTCCTAATCTAGTATATTGACTCGAAATAGAACTCACCCCTGTTTCTAGATGTAGGAACCACATAGTTATCTTTCGCCAGATTGTGAAAAATGGATGCCGAAGATACTCAACCAATACGTTCACCCCTGTCGATCGAGAGATTTTGTGGAAGTATTTGTAGAACGAGTGCAGATTGAACAGTCAATTCAATCTAACTTATTTTTGGCTTCCAGATGGATTTCTCAAAACCCTATTACAAAACCGGTATTGATGGAATCAAATAATTAAAATGTGAGGCAGTGACCCATGATGCTATTTGAAGTTCTTATGATATCAAGGAATAACTAAGTTTTAAAATTTATCCCAAAGACTTTGAGCCCAGTATAACTTGAAGGTCCTAGGCTTGACCCTATCCTGCTCTGTAGATACAACCTAGTGAGAATTCTTACACGGAACTGAGAAAATTTGATGCTTCATGAGTTTTAACTGTTCTCCAGCTGAATAATGTCTCAAATCTCTGCAAATTACCACGGTAGATAGTTTTCCCTTTTCTGAAGAGCTTGGTAACAATATATGCAAAGATGGATAGTCGCTAGCAGTGGAATCCAGGACGCGCGTCCCGTCCTAGAGGTATCTGCATCTCAGAATTGGTGTTCATTCTGGGATTCGAACCCAGCATCGTCTGCCCATTTAACCACTTAGTCTTGGTACTTACTTGCTTGTGCAATGAGGTGAAGTTTGAATTCACTTGGTGTTGCTTGAATCTTCCCATTGATGTATAGGACTGTAATTCATCAGTCTCTCATTGACATATGAGCATACTGTGCGTATTGCTTCGATATTGTTTTAATCCGCACGTCCTGGATTCCACTGCTAACCCCTATCCACCTTTGCTTATAATGCTTGTCAATTAAGACTTTGTCGAGGCGATACACACAGTATGCATATATGCCAATAAGAGATTGATCAGTTGCAGTCCTCAACATCTATGCGAAGATTCAAGTAAACAATAGCAAATGGACTTGGTAACAATAGTCATTATTTTTATGGATGAGTTCTGTATCTTAGATTGATCGTCTTATAACTTCGTCTTTTCAAAAGGACTACCAATATGAAACATATGGTTTGAAAAAGTCAGTAGACATGGTGAGACGAAAACGGTATATACTAGACCGGATTTACTATGTTATCAGAAATAACGTCTGCGTATTTTCTTTTGAAAAAACACTGTCAAAAAACAAAAGCCGGTGATTGACGTAATCCTTATTATCTTCAATCCACACAGAATTGATGACATGTGAAATAAATAATAACTGGAAACACAAAATTTTACTAAATATCTACTTTGTAACAAAAAGCCAGAGTGACATTATTGATTAACGTTGTATAATTACGTTGTACATGGCTGAATTTATACCGTTTATCATGTATCGCTTTATGAAGTTCTACACTTTACTTAAAAACTCAAATATGAAGTCACTCAATAGAACAGTATGGTCTGAATTACCTTTCACAGTACCGAAAAACAGGCGTAAGAACCCAGATAGTGTGTTATAAAGTCTGTCTGGAAGTATAAATATAATATGAACAGGACAATTCCTTCAATAACTTATACCAAGATGTTTACATACATCAATTAATTAATATTAAGATACTTTGTGGTTATTTTTTAAATCTGTCACACAGAAATGTAAATAAATGATAAGTTCCACATCTCACAAGAAGTCCCAAGATAGAAAATAACATTTGTTTCGTGAATTCATTAAGGTGATAAGATCACTACATGTGTACAACAATAGTAAATAAACATATTTAGCGAATCTTTGGGACTAAGAAAAGAAATTCAGTAGTAAAAGAGATATCTTGAAGAGAATAAAAAAATGATGATAAAGTAGGTTTTACGAATAGTTTCTTTGATATCGAGGTTTACGTAATAGAACCACTTTAGTAAGTCAATCAATATCTAATACTTTTAGACTACTTAAATCACAAACTGGGTGTACAACTAAAAGATAACATTGAGATTAGTATTTCTTTTACCAATTATCGACATAGTAAAGGATTAATAGGAAAGTGGGCTATTATTATCAGCTTGTTAAACAACAAAGCTATCGAGTTAAAATCAGAGTTACTGCATTATCTCATAGATAATTAGTTAAAAAATAACTTGAATGATACCACGATTTCTGTTTCTCATTTCTAATGAAACTCTTATGCCTTTTTAACGGTTTATTAATGAAACTTTTGTCCGTATAGGATTGTGAAGGCCGTTGAATTTTTATTGGAATCATGAACCGATTAATGTTAGATTACCATTAAAAACCTGGAAGCACTGAAGGGCCGTTTTATTCTAGTATGAGACTCTTCAGCAGTGCGCATTTATGGTACTGCAGGTGGGAAACTGACCCAGGATCTATGATCTCGCCCGTGAACGCTTAACCAACAGACCAATGAGCATGGATTCAATGGTGTTAATGTCTAACTTCAACCAATCCATGATGTCTCGTGATTATCTTCCGTTTTTTTTCTTCATTGGGTAACTGCATCACACCCGACACAATTGAACTCTATTGGCCACAGCTTCTCGCTAGAACTCCGGGAATCACCTCTTAAAGTGTTCGTGTCCCGTGTGCGGGATCGCGGATGCTGACTGCTGAAAAGTTCCATACTAAAACAAAACAGCCATTCAGTGCTTTTAGGTTTTGAATGGTTGTCTAACATTGTTCGACTCTTGATCTCAATATAAACATCTAGTTGTTCATTACAAACAATTATTTGAAAACACTGAACTTTGACATTTTAGACATTATTGAAGCATTTTAGAAGAAACAATTATGCTTTATTTATGATGTATTCATCTAACTACTTTCATTTCAGATGGTTTAATAATAATAAGAAAAATATTATGATTATTATCATTAGTATATCATATATTAGTATAAATAAACTTCGAACAAATTAATTACAAATGAAAGATAAAGGTTAAACTAGACAAATTACAAGATAAGAACAAACAAGGATTATATAATCATATTGTGTGAATCATATCATTTGGTTCATTAACCTTTTTATACATTGTTCGTGTATACTTGAATATGTTAGTTACATTATGGTTTATTATTTTTTTCTTATCCTACATTTTTTTTTATTGTTTCCGTTACAAGGGGAAACAAAAAAAGAAGTAATGTGTTGTAGCCTTTTCAATCACGAATCGATTAAATCATCTGACCGATAGTTTATTTTATAAATGTCAATTTTCTTATGTAACCAGGATCATACAAATAAAGCAAAATACTATATATATATATATATATATATATATATATATATATATATATATATATATATAATTTTATCAGATAGAATATTTGATTCAAGTAACTAAGGTCAAATTTCATAAAACTATTAAAGTATACTTTGTAATTGTAATTCATCTATTCATGGAAAAAAAAATTAATCTATCACTAAAAAAAACTTTTGGCTAAAATATATAAAAAGTGTTATCCGGTAATTTTATGAAATAAGCAGTTTAAGGTGCATCATGATTATTATCAGAAGGGGTTTTGTGGAGATTTAGTATTTTCATAGTTAAAAGCGTGAGTTCAGTGCTTCCAGGTTTTCCATGGTGGTTTAGCTTCAGGTGACTCACGCTTTCATCATGATTATATAAATTAGAACAAGAATTTATATATTCATTCAATTTCTAAGAATATATCAGCATATTTCTAAACTTTTTAAATTTTCTTTAGCTACTAATTATTCACTGGAATGTGAATATAATTAACTTCAGTCAATGATAACAGATTTTGATTAAGATCATGAATCGATTGATGTTAGACTACGATTGAAAACCTGGAAGCACTGGATGGCCGTTTAGCCCTATTATGGGATTAAACAGTGCGCATCCACGATCCCGCCCACAGGATGCGAACCCAGGAGATTCGGTCTCGCGTGCAAACGCTTAAACTCTAGACCTTTGAACTGGTATCCAACGGTGTTAAAGTCTAACCTCAACAAATTCATGAGGAGTCCCATGATAGGACGAAACGGTCGTCCAGTGCTCCCAAGTTTTTAATGGTGGTCTAACATCAATTGATTCATGTTCTCAATCAAAAGCTTAATAATCTCTACAAATCCATACTGACAATGATAATAGTGTTAGTTAGCTTATGTAATTTGAATGACCTTAATTATAAAAATTGTAATATTGATGTTTATTATATGTAATTTAAATTTTGCCGATATGATTATATGAAAGTAATTTACATTAGTAACTGCATAAAGTTCGTGGTTTGCACACTGGCTATCAGATTTTTAAAGTTCTTAATAGAATATCCTACTTGATATGGAATTTCGGCTGTCATACATGTGTTCTGTTCCAACTTATTGGTCCACGTAGAAACAGACTTCTCAACGACTCAAATGAATAACTTAGTACTCACATACTGATTTGCTGCGCAGAACTTCCTTCACAAGATACAATGAGATAAGAGGGTAATAACTGTACTAACTTACAAATCCCTCTATATCTTTGACTCAAAATTCAGATGATTAGATATTTCAATAAATTGACCACAAAGCACCAATTTTAAGGAAATACAATCTCTAATGAAATGGGGCGTTTAACGTACAGCATACAATTAAATTAAAGTAATTTGGAAACAGAATAAATTGTGACAATAGTTTATAAATCAAACGAAAGCTGTCAATCAGGGAAATATGAAAATCACGTGAACAGATAAGTTGAAAATTAAATGTATTGATGCCAAAAAACAGCATTCCAAACAATTAAATAAAATTGAAAAGCAAGATACAACAGACAGGTTTTTCACTTTTAAATCAAACCACTTCAGCAGTACCCACCTACAAATTTGCCCCCGAATGCCCTGGTACGGCCGAGAGTAGGGAGTCCGCTCTCCCTCTCAAAATGCTCCCACGTGGCCACGCGTATATAGCCTCTGTCAGGGAAATCCTACTAACTGCCTTCTCGTGGCGGGGATGCTTTTCGAAATTGAGAGGACGAAAAGCGAATATCCGGCACTCTAACCGGGTTGCTGGACACCGTGTGTTCACCTAGGGGAGTTGAAAAACTTTGATTACAAACCAATGGTGCACATGGACTCCAGTATCCTGAAGAAACAAATGGAGTATGAATCAATCGTTGATCACCGGCTACCATGAGACTGAATCTCCTCACGACGCTCTACTGCCTTGTGGATCAGACCTTTAGATCAAATGCTCTGGGTGTGGCCCCCTAAGAAAACTATTTGCTTCAGTTTGGGCACCTGAGCAGTATCACAGCCCTCACACAAATCAAATGAGATTTGTATGGCGTACATGTATCTGGTGCTTCCTTGTACCAGTATGTGTGTTTAAATAAAAAATTAATTTTCAAATTAAGGCTGTATTGAAATCAGAGAAACTAAAGGTTATACTAGAACTGTTTGTTGCTTTGCGGCTAATATTGATCATTGAAAATAATTTTCAACATAAATCTCCATCAAATCACGTAGTTCAAAAGGTATACAATATCAAGAAATCGAATATTGTCATAATGATTGACAAAAACTATCCTTTTCCAACTTGACTGTATTAAAATCAAGTGAATCCGGATGTAATGACTTTTCAACTATCTAATATCATTTTATTTAGTTGAGATCATGAGTTAATTGAAACTAGACCACCATGGAAAACCTGGACGACCGTTTCGTCCTATTGTGGGACTCCTCAGCAGTGCGCTAATATCACTCAAAATTCTTGTTGCTTTACCGTATACTTAAATAGTTTGTTTTGGGTATTTTGAACAAAATTTTCATCATGTTAAGACATATTCAAATCAAAATCTTTTTCGATAAACCTATTTCCTAACAATTCAAATCTCATTAGTAAATGTACTGAATACTTGTGATTGAATGCTAAACTATGGTAACCCCCCCCAGGATTCACACATACTAACAAAGGCAGCTTAGTTACAACTCTCGATACCAATAATGATTGGACTATGCCTAGCATTGAAGTAGAGGTTACGCGCCTCTCATTATTTGAGACTCATCAGCTGAATAGATCTACCTGCCTATTGTTATCATCAAAAGTTAGAAGCGTGTATAAATTTCTCATTTTCGGTCACTCATGTCAAAGTTTACTGTAAACGATTATAAAACAGTATATGGATTTTGAGTTCATTATCATTAGCTTGATAGCTAATTTACCCATCTGATGTTCATTTTATGTAATTAATTTGTGGGTATCTGGTACATAAAACTATTAGTGTTACTCGATATATGAATTTTTTCATTTGTGATTTGTTCACCTACGTATATTACAAATTTTAGTTACCTCACAATTTATTGGACTGATTAATTTTGTTATAATTTCAACGTAATAATCTTTGTTGAATTTGAAAGACTCTGATTTGGACATAAAAGAGTTTTGTTCATTCTTTTTCTTAAGAATATTTTTCTCCATTTCTGCAGTTGATAAATGGTTAGTAAGTACACCGTAATTATAATTAACACATTGTCCTATCCACTTTCAACATCTTTTCTTACTTTCCTCCTCAGCTGGAAGTTGGTTTGTTCTCTGCCACAGTAGGCTGTTGCTGATGTTATCCGGCCAGTTAGTGATGAGTATTTTGCGTAGACAATTGTTTATAAATACTTGTATCTTTTTGATGATGGTTGTGTTAGTTCTCCACGTTTCAGCTTCGTACAGTAGAACTATCTTGACGTTCGTATTGAAGAGTGTGACTTTGATATTGGTTGACAGACAGTTGTTTTGAGTCCCTAACTGTAGTAACGCTATCGTTGCTTTTCCAATCCTTGTTTTTACGTCAGCGTCGGATACTCCTTGTTCATCGATAATAATGCCCAGATGAGTGCGTGAAAGTTTCCACTTCTTCCAGAGTTCCTCCATCAATTGTGAATGGATTGGTGTTGTCCGTGATGTACTTAAGGATGCTGCTTTTTCCCTTGTGTATGTTGAGGCCTACTGACACAGACGCTGCCACTACACTGGTTGTCTTGACCTGCATTTGTTGGTGTGTATGGGATAGAAGGGTTAGGTCATCTGTGAAGTTCAAATCTTGTAATTGATTCCGAGCTGTCCCTTGTATTCCGTGCTTTACCCCAGATGTTGAGATTTCCATTGTTACATTGACTTGTTTTGAATTAAAAAGTGATGAAATTACTTACTGTTAGGCTGTGGATTCCATGTGCTATTTCCACTTCTATGATAGTGAAAATCCAGGGACTTCTATCTTCTGTACAACAACAACTAAGGTAGAATGATGTGAAATCACCATATTTTTCGGATTTTCATGTTACTTACAGCCATATATCTATTAAAGAGAAATAGAGAATATATATAATTGACCTTTTGAAATAGGAATTCGAAGATTTCATCAAGATTTGTATTGCACATTTTTGCGTGTAAATCAAATTTTTAAATAATTTGGCATATCCAGTGAAAGGTGAATACCTTGTTTCTTGATATTTATTTTGCGATAAACTAATGACCATGACAATTGCATAGATTAAGGGAAAGACACTTTTCAACATTTTAACGATGTCTGATACTTCCTATATAATAAGTACTATCATATGTTTATCAGTCATGTGACTTTATGAAAAGTTAAAATATGTTAATTAAGAAGATAGTATAAATTCATTTAGTATTGTTTGTTTGAATCTTCCCATTGATGTTTAGGAATGCAACTGGTCAGTTTTTAATTGGCATATGTGCATTTTGCCTAGATATAGCCTTAATTCACAAGCATTGTAAGCAAAGATGGATAGTGGCTAGCAGTGAAATCCAGTTATATTGTTATATTATGCATAAAAATCATTTTAATTGTCTGAATTTACTTTAAAATAAATCAATCAGTTAGTGATAAACAATAGAAGATTAAATACAAATATCTATAAGTTCAAGTAGTCCCATTCTACACGTCAGGTACAATTGAAAGTCGATTAATAAAATAGAAATAGAAAGAAGTAGAAATAATTGTCATGACAACTATTTTAGAAGACTAAATAAAACAAAATCAACTCAAAAAGAAACAAAATAAGGGGAATGAATATTAAGTAAGGCACATTATTGCATTTAACTCAAGATTTTCAAAAAGAGAGAGAAAGAGATTAAGAATGAATACATTTCCATCGTTATGATGATCTTCAGACGTCTAACTCGAGATCTTCAAGTAATTTATTAAGGTAATTGTGACTACATCTCACAATAGAAATTAATAACATATCACTGAGTGAGCTTCATTATCAGTAGTATTGATGGTAAGAGTAGGAGAAAAAAACAAAGTCAAATCAACACATAATGTATGGTTATGAGTAAGTGAATAATAAAGTTAGGTATGAAAATAAAAAAACTATCTGATTTTATACATTTTGAGGAAAAATTAGTAACCGGTAAAGTGACCATTTTAAATATTTGATACTGTAAGAGAATTAAAATAAGTTGGATTGAAAAATATCAGCCTTTTACTTCTGTATCAGTATAATAACTGTGATGTCAAATAAGCTGTTGCCTTATAGATATTCATACTGTTTTTGGATATATTACACAAGCCAATATTATTCATTTGAACATAATTCTAAAAAGTAAAAGAGAATAACATAAAAAGAATTAAGGGATGATATGATAACTAACTGTTAACTGATATGATTAAATATCTTTCTCTGACACTGGTGGTTAAAAGAAATCTTTAAACCCACACTGAAAATTATCATGTGGTAACTAGTGATAAATTTTGAGAGGGAATTTCTGGAGTTCTAGTGAGAATCCATGACTCGTGGAAATAATCCGTTTCGGGTGTGGGGCAGTTACACACCGAAGACAATGTGATATGGTTGCGCAATATCATGGATTGCTTGAGGTTAAATATTATCACTGTTGAATAGAGCCTCAGTGGTTTACAGGTTAAGCGTGAGGGGTCGTGGATGCGCAGTAATCTGGATTCCTGTACTATGACGGTACAGCCACCCAGTGCTTCTAGGTTCTCAATGGTGGTCTATCTTGAATCGGTTCATGGCTTCAATGAAATTCAAAGAAATCTAAAAATTAAAACAAAGTCAACTAAATAGCTAACAAACATTTTCACTATACCAATGCGAAGTTGTGACTAGGGAAAATGCTCTATATTAATACCTATTAATGATGCAGATGATTCGGAAAAGAACAAAACAGTTGAATAACACAACCAATTGAGTCGTAAGATCTGGTCTTAGTGAACACTATAATTTCAGATCACAGAATAAAATGTTTGCAATAACAGTAATAGTGAGTTATATAATATTCATCGACATAAAATCACATACTAGTATAACTAACTAACGTCTTGTCGATTACTTAAAAACAACGTGTTAAGATACATATGGTACTGATCACTATATATGATACATTTTTGCTCCATTTCTATTTTTTTTCTCTTTACGTCTTGTTAACTGACAAAAAAACGAATGTACCATAAAACAAAGATAATCACTAAAGTAAAACATTATCAAAATCACTGTAATTTTCTAATACAACGAGATATGAATCAGGGGATGTGGAGAACACTAAACCAAAAAGACCAAATATAACAAGTAACAAGTTAAAACTTAACAGAATAAATGTGAATGACTGAAAGAACAGCAACAACTTACATTATAAATATCAAGTGAAGTTTTATCTATAGGCAATAAAGACGACGATGATAAAGTGTTATTTATATAATAATTATCAGTTTGCATTGAGTGTTTAGTAAAATCTGTACGAAGATAATCTGTATGTAATACAATTAAAAAAAAGACGAGATGAATTGCACATAGTTAGTTACTCATTTTTAATGGTTTCAATTGACTTATGATTTCAACTATAAAATTACTAAAATCTCCACAAAAACTCTTGATAATAATCATATGCTCACTAGTGAGTCCCACAATAGTGCTTTCAGGTTTTTCATGGCAGTCTAGCTTTAATTGGTTCATGATCTCAACTATATAAAATTAATAACGATAAGTTAAATAACTAATTTAATAAAGTAAACAATTCAATATTTAAATACTCTTCTTAATAAGTTACTTATTAAATTATATCATATAAATCTTCTATGTAAAAATGTCAGTTATCTTGATTAAATATGAATTTCAAAACATGTATTAATATATACAATAATAATTAGAATGAAGCTATATATAAACACAAATGAAAGAATCCATAAAACATTCAAAACTACTTTTCATATATCTATACATCATAATAGATGACATTAATAAACCATCTAAAATAAAAATAAAAGACCTTACTTTATCATGTTTTGGTCAAAAGCTCGAGGTATGGCCCCCTAAGAAAACCACCTGCTTCGCTTTGGGCACCTGGGCATTATCTCAGCCCTCACACAAATCAAATGTCTTATGCGGCGCATATATATGTGGTGCCCCCTTGTACCAATATTTATGTGTTTAAATAAATAATAAATAAATTTTTATGCTTTTCAAATTTTTTGCCATAAAATATTGATTGTAATCAGTGTTTACTTTTTTTAGCGAAGATTAATACCATATTTTTAGTTAAAAGAATAAAGTAATAACTTTAATTATAATGTATAGATACATATCAACAGGAATCATACTTGAATAGTGTACTAAGTTACTATCAGATCTAAATTAATACATTGAAGTAGAAACATACTATTCAGGTTTGGTATTTCTAGTCTTTCAGTTATACATTCTTGGATAGTAAGTGTGAATTTAGCCAATAGACGAATAGAGTGAACAAATATTTCCTTCCAATCAGCTTATCATTATGGATTCACACTTACCTATATGTATAAATATAATTTACTGTAATAAAACAATACTAACAGAGTAGTAGTGTTGTGGCGTATACTACTTATGTTGGCTGGCATATGTAGTATGCAGCGTCGATCGGAATTGGAAAACCGGGCAGTAGAAGGCTTAGAAGATCGAGTTGAAGAGAATAGAAGGAAAATAGAAAGGAATTGTGAATTGGAAGAATCATACAGAATGTGAAAGACAAATGAGGGAAATTTGAAAATGAAGTATTTAGTGTATGATTCTTATATTTAACCAAGATATTCTGTAATTTTGTACTAAGTGATAAGTTGGTTGTCCTCACCTGAGTCTCGTTCATTGGAGTTACATAAGGATACTGTTACATAAGGATAATATAATTTCACAAGTGATAACAAAAATAACATCGAGTGATTAATTAGGTAATTGATAAGATACCGTAATCAATCAAAGCAATCATTTGTAGAAATCCCCAGACTAAACAATTTTTATCGTTGTATATGATATTGTTATGCTTGTGACCGAGTGGATAACTAGTTGATGTGTGACGCTCAGTGGTCTATCGGTTAAGGGCTCTGGCTCGTAACTGGTAGGTCCTGGGTTCGAATCTCGCGAGTGCGGGATCGTGGGTGCGCACTGCTGAGGAGTCCCATAATAGGACGAAACGGCCGTCCAGTGCTTCCAGGTTTTCGATGGTGGTCTAGCTTCAATTGACTCATGATTTCAACTTTGAAATATACTGAAATCTCCACAAATCCCCTTCTGACAATAAGTGAGTATAACTCAAGAATCGTATGATAATAAATCAAAGATCAAAATAAAGCTCATGATAAGAGAAACACGAATATGAATAGTTAAGTTACGTAACAATTGTACAATAGGAAATAAGCATAATACATTGGTCGATAAATAGACCTAAAAGTTAACATTCGTAATTCACTGGGGGATATAACAGATATATATATCACGGTAGAGCTATATTGAAAAAAGTAATTGAGAAGACATATTTCCTTATTCTGTTTAGTAAATATGCATTGTTGGGTTGAATAATCTAGTGCGAAGAGCACCAGTAGATATAAAATTAAAATACTTAATCGAAAAGGGTCGCTATGAGATTAAGTATTAATTTTATTGAAGAATAACTACCCGGAAAACAAAGTATCAATCCGAAACTTCATAATGATTGACAGCTAATATCTTGTGATAAAAATGCTACAGTCTCGCTTAATAAAATTACTTCACACAATAAGTTTCGTTTTAAATCAAACTCGGCCAACATCAAAATAATGCTATGAATAGAAACCAATGAGGAACTCGTGAATAGGTTGCACTACTTCATTTCTAAATGTTAATAAAAGAATAATTATCATTTATATACCTTCATAGACATGCTTATTTGGTAAATTCAACATGATCTCAGATGACGATACACAGTTTGAATAGATGGATTCAGGATCTTCTTTGGATTTAACAAGTTGGTCAACTGTTATTTGTTTCCGCTTTTGACGTTTTGTAGAATTAGAAGTATACGGATAACTCACAGAATATCCTTTATTATCAAAATATTTGTCAGGTAGACGTTTAGGTTGTATTACTGATAAGTCTGGATCAAGAGGCAATGGAAACAAATTCAAATCGGGCGGAAAGAAATTGATACAATTATCTATCGACTCCTCATAATCACTAAAAAGAGAGAAAAAAATGATAATGTAAAACTTCATGCAATGCAATAGTCATTTACAGTTAGTTAGTCATATTGTGAATATAAATAGTGCGCGATCAGTTGAAACATTGAAATATTAACCATTGAATAGAAGGTTCGGATTCTGTCTAACCTATTCTATTTTGATTAGTGCGGAGTTATCTTTGTTTCTTCATATAACTGAGGCAATTCATACGGTAACAGGGACATACATATATGGAAAATAGACGAAACGATAACATATATAATGTCTACTCCAAGAACTCTATATGTTATTGATCTCTAAACATCAGAAGAAAAAAGCTGACTTTTGATTGCCGAGCATTAGCATTTACCTAAAATACTACTCTTTTTATATATAACTTTAAGTAACCTAAAATTAAGATGAACAAGTGATTAGATAATTTGTGTCTACTGGCATAATCAAGTCATTCCAACTGCGTAGCAGCATAAAATCGAAATATAGATTAAAATAATTTTTGCATCCATGATCAATCACTTAAAATGTTGATTTCTAATTCAACCGCTACCTATTACCTTTACACATAATGTGTAGTCCAAAGTCAAACACCTAGAAGTGTACTTAATAAATGTATTACTTAAATATTAGTGACGTATTAATCCCCGTCGCCAGTTGTTATAACGTATAGGACTCTTAATATATATGGACGTGCAATTAGAGAAGGTAGTGGATTTATTGATCGGCCGCAAATGATGATTGAAATTGTACGATCAGTCTTGATTGCCTATCGGCCCTGCTACTGCCTAGCCCAGCCAGTTGAGTGCAGAACACAAATAACAGCCTCGGCAATATGAATCATTATTTACAAGCATACTGGGTCTTTATACAAACCAAAGTAATCAATAAACTGATTATAACTCAAGAATCGTATGATCATAAATCAAAGATCAAAATAAAGCTAATGATAAGAGAAAACGAATATGAATAATTTAGTTACGTAACAACTGTACAATAACAAATAGGCATAACACTTTTAGTTTCTATTCCCTGAGATATTGCTAAAATTGAAGTCTAATTATGGTTGAACAAGAAATTGTATCCTTTTAGAACTATACTTCGTTTTTCGCTATCAATGATATTGCCATTGTTTCTACACATTTACTGTTCATCATGTAAATGTCCTCTAGCTATATTGACATATGAAGTGTCGTTTCAAGGGTAAGTGGATATTATCATAGAGTGGGATAGTCTGTAATTTGTGCTTAAATACATTCGATTGTCCCCCACTCGTATTCTTGTTCACTACACTAGGACTTAGATCATATAAGTAAAAGAGGCGAAAACAGATGAAAAACTGTACACAGGTATACTCAAATGATTGAAAAGTATATAAGTAGATTTTTTGACATTCTTCATTTATAGTCTGATGTGAAATTTAAATTTCATGAAGCTCGTTAGTTAAAGTATTTGTTTATTACACTTCCAATTTTTAAATAGATCATTAGCTTGAAATCATTTGGTATTGTTTACTTGTATCTTCTCACTGTTGTTTAGGACTGCGATTGATCAGTCTCTTGTTGGCATATGTGCATACTGTCTCGAAATTGCACATTCACCTTTTATTCTAGTATGTTTCTCTCATTTATTCCTATAAATACACTCACTTCTATAGCTTTACACCTATCCAATATAAGAGAAACTTGGTTAAATGCCTCACTAGTAGAGCAAATAAGATCTGTTCTGTTGATACTTTAAGTCAGGAACTGGAATTTATCTATAACTCACTGACTGAGATCGGCTACCCTGCTGAGTTCATCAAAAAGTACATGTATGATACAAGGAAGAAATCGGAGATTTTAACTGTTCGTAAGAAGCCTCTATACATAAAATTACCATTCAACGGGGATGTAGCTAGTGAAACTCTGAAAGATAGGTTAACAAAAGTAATTAGTAGAACTTTCTACGCAGCCTATCTTGCATTGACTTTCTCGAGTCGACCAGTGATGTCTACTCAAACGAAGGATAAGTTACCTGAGTTGGCCTCCTCCATGTGCATTTATAAGTTCAGCTGCTCCTGTGGAGATAGCTATATCGGGCGTACTACTAGGCAACTTAACCAACGAATGAGTGAACATCTACCAGCATGGTTTGGAAAGGGCCAAATAAAAACAATACGCAGTTCTATCTTGGCACATCTAATTGATAGTGGTCATACTGTTGATAAATTGAAATCATTTCAAGTGATCTATCGTATACCTCCATCGTTTCCCAACGGAGTTCGCTCCCGTCTACTTCATATAGCAGAAGCCATAGGGATTTGTACATTCCATCCCAATTTATGTGTACAGAAGAAATTCGTAACCCCCCTATCCCTTCCATGGCCGGACATAACTTAATAATTGACATTATTATTATTTGTAAAAAATTTTATTTTGGTTATCATTTTTTGTTTGTTTGTAATTTTCTACCTCTTTCCGTTTGTATTCTTCACTATCTATTTACTTACATACTTCTTATTACGTAATGATTTTAATGTTTTGTGATTACTATTCCAGACTATTTACCCACGTTTGACTTCTTAATTCTCAATGTTTAATTATTGATAAGACTTTTGTTATCGTAATTTACTATTCTTACTACTATCAGTACACCTGTCTTCCCACTATCAACTTGTACTTTTAACTATTATTAGGCTTGGTAACGTATTTCTATTTCATTGTGATTATTATTGACTCAAATAGCCTTGATTGATCTAATATTTTCATATAAATATTCATGTATATTAGAGTAAAGCCTGATGACGATCTAATTGAAAACAATTGTTCGCTTACATATGTTGTTCTAATTTTCACAATGGGAATCTTTAATATTCTATAAATATTTGTTGATACAATTAGTTTTTGAGGCTTATATTTCTCTTATTGTTCACCTAATTCTGATGTGTTCATGTGTTATTAATCATAAATATTTAGCCTAAGACTTGTAACTATTTTGTTAAATAGACAAAAAAATATTTAGATTTTGTAATTGTTTTAATCTTGGTGTTTATACGAGTAGACAAGATAACCTTGATTGTAATGTGTTATTTATCACATTTCATACAGTTACTAAAAATTACAAACACTCATTAACAGAAATTTCTTTAATTAACATTACATACTAAAACTGTTTAAAAATGGAAAAGGTATCGGCTAATGAAAGCAATTAGATGGCCTGTAATTGTATCGATAATTCTAACTTTGAAGTAAATGGTAATCATAATATTCTTGGAAAATGACAAAACACTCAGAAATTAATTATCTTCCCCAAATGAAAAATTAAGTTTTAAACTACCTGCTTAAATTTCATTTTAATAATGAATGACAATAGTTGTACATCTTTAAACGTTGGTTCGTTGTCTTTTAGAACTGATTATAATCCAGTTAAGAGGTTCCGTATAAATTTTATTTAAAAGTAGTCTTGTGATATGATAGTCAGCATCTGAATTGACTAGGAAGAAAATGATGCATAAAAATGATTGCCTTCAATCGCCTAAGACATTCCATTACGTCCATTGTTCTGTTATTATTTTATATATACGTACGTTATTTCATTACATAAAAAAACGTTTTCTACTGGGCACCTTTTTTGTCTTCTGATATCAGATCAGCTACGGGACGGGGAGGGTTTAGGTCAGTAATCTGGTCATGTGAGAAAACAACACTCAGCCACATCATTTTATTGGATATGATCTAATTCTGCGTTCTTGCTTTTCATTTTAAAAGCTAAAAGTTCATTTATAAAGTCCTGTTTCATAACATCCCAAGATTTGATTTTTTAAAAATATAACACGATAGCTACGCAAGGTTTCGTATACTTAGTTTTCAGTTACACGTTTTGTACAATAGATAATGATCCTACCCGACTTTCTAAAACAAACCAAGAAGGGCAAGATTCGAACTTGCAATCTAGTAGTGTAGTCAAATGCATCAATCACTAAGCTAACACTTAGTTTGAGAGTCTAGGAAGTAAAGAAGATACGATAAGCATAAATATCGTGCACTTTAACAGATGATTGCGAGAAATGTATCTATTATGACCAGAACATTAGGAAGAATGACAGACTTCTAAAGCTAGGTATTGGGATATCAGTCCACTTAATTCTTAATATATGTTAACTGACACTTGATAAATGTAATTTTCATCTTCACCTAATTCCATGCTTTTAATGGACTCACTAAATGCTGTCGTACCTTTTTTCTGTTCCAAAATTATTTGTAAGTCTATTACTCCAGTTTTGTATCCTAAATATCCTATTTTGCCACACACATCTCTTATCCATGGTGTGTTGTACTCCTTATCATTCGTGTATTTTAGTCATGTGAATTTCGATTCAGATATAGAAGTAAGTATGATCTTATTTTTATCTTTTCACTGGGCCTTGGGGAAACGAAGCTCTAGTTAGTCAGTCAGAGTTTTCATAGCAGGTCATTTAGTTGAGTCATAAACATATTTACCTTCAAGGTTCAATCAGTTATAGCCGAACTCACCTGTATCAGACTACAACGTCATAGTCACGAACATTACAAGTGACTAAATAAGATTATTTCAACAACAGAACATTAATCAAAAAGCGTAAGGAAATTATACAAACAAACAAAAGTAAATAGTAGCATTAACGGTACCTATCTGAACTAGATTTATCTTCAACATTGTCACCGTCATCGTCAGCAACAACAGCAGCTTTTTCTTGTTGTCGTTTGTTTTTTTTATCATCGAAATTATTATTTATTGGACATTGATCCTTTACTTTTTTCAACTTTTTTGTTTTGTTTAATTCAACATTACTAATTGAATGATTCAATGCTTCATTTGAATTGTTGCCATCTTTATAATATTTAGACGAAAGATTACTTTGTTTAGCAGCCCAATCAAAATGTGGTATATCAGTAAAATTAGGAAATGAATGCGCAGCACATATTGAACGACCTAAATCCATGTAAATATTTGATAATGTAGGATAACTGAAATTAGTAAGCTGATCTTTTTCAGGAACAGACATGTATTTTATAATATTATTGTTGCTATGATGCGAATGTATTTGGTCGTTGATCTGTGAATCTTGAAATAAAAGAAAAAAGTTGAGGAAAGTGCGTAAATTTTCGTTTTTGATTTAAATAAAAGACAAAATAGATGTTGTGTTAAAGAAATAGATTAAAATAACAGTATAAATATCTCACAATACTGTTTAGTGTAACTCATTTGACATAATTACTGCACAAAGGTAAAGAGAGAGTCGAGGGCCTCTAAAGATCACAACGCCAATTACGTTCTGAGTATGAGTAAAGTCTTATTTTCCTCGACTCTATTACATAACTCAAATATTTTAAAGGTACTTTTCAAAAGGAGCTGATATTAGCTGAAGAAGCGCGGAAAATAGGGAGCATTGGACAGTTATTTCACTCTTTTTGGAGCCCCTTATCGAGGAGCAGTAATAACCCTATACTGACTTGAAAGTAAGCCTAGAGGATCTCTGGGATAAAGTAATAACATTGAACTACTGAAACGATATCAGAATGTCCACATGAGCAACTTCAGTTAAACTGCGACATAGAGTGACCATTATCTAACATTATCAGGGAGTAATTGCTCTACTCTCGATTTGGTTAGTAAAATGCAATATGAAAAAAATAACCTGGTGGGGACGTGCGATCTCCAAATACAACTTATACCCTTAACTGCACACAAGACCAAGTTGGTCGCTTTCAAATCCTTCCTACACCTAATAACTCTGTTATCTCCACGACTAACCCTTCCCACGTCCTTTTATCACCTCGCACCACTAGGGCAAACGATTCGAGTACACAGAACGTTATTCCTGGTCTCCTGAAACCACGCTCTAAACTACATATAGGAACTTTTAATGTCCGAACATTGTGCCAAATAGGACAACAGGCTTCCTTAGCTAGGACTCTAGAATCTTACACCATCGATGTGTGCTGCGTCTCCGAAACGCGCATACAAGATCAAAGTAGTGTCATTCATTTGACCGCACCTAATCAAAATAAAGTTTCATCTCGATACACGCTTCGTGTATCTGGAAGCCCTGATGCTGCTTCCCGTGGCCTCGCTGGAGTAGGTATAGCATTAAGTCCTAGGGCAGAACTAGCTCTTTTAGACTGGATCCCAGTAGACAGTCGTCTATGCGCTGTCCGACGAAACGGATCAGTAAGGACCCGGAAAGATAGGGAAACTCGTCGTTGCCTCTTCGTCGTCTCTGCCTACTCTCCCACTGACTGCAGCTCAGACGATATCACAGATGAGTTCTACAGGAAACTTTCTGACCTTCTCCGAGAAGCTAGGCGTTCTGATGCAGTAATAGTAGCAGGTGACTTTAATGCTCAAGTAGGTAAACTAAGTGAAAGGGAAAGACACCTGGGTGGATCTTATGGTGTCATGGCGAAAAGAACAGATAATGGCGACCGTCTGTTGCAGCTATGCTCAGATAACCGCCTATTTCTTGCAAATACTAACTTTAAGCATAAGGAAAAACATCTTTTGACATGGCGACCCCCGAATTCGTCCCAACGCTGGACCCAATTAGATCACATCGCTATCAGCCACCGATGGAGGGGCTCGATAGAAGACTGTCGCTCATTCTGGGGCACATGTTTAGATTCAGATCATGCTCTAGTGCGAGCACGTATCTGTCTGCGTCTTACTGGTCGTAGGAAAGACACTGCAGGGAAGCCTCTAAGGGTTCTACTTAATGATAGGCAAGCTAAGAATATATTTCAGGAACAACTAGGAAAACAGTTAGGCAGCCATGTAAGTTGTGTCCACCCCGAGGCAGCGTGGAATGACATCCGAAAAGCTGTGGAAACAGCAGTGATATCCGCTAGTAAGGTAAACCATAACGTTAGGGAGAAACAATGGATCTCGGCAGCATCTACCGCACTGATAGATGCTCGTAAACTCATCCCACCTGGCTCTGAGCATAACGAAGAGCGGAGTCAACTTAAGCACAGGCTTATAAGAAGTCTACGTAATGATCGTGAACAGTGGTGGGTAGCGAAAGCAAGAGAGATGGAAAAGGCAGCGGCAATAGGTAACAGTAGGCAGCTATTCAGACTCGTTAAAGAAACCGATATTAGGAACCCGAATATCAGTGAAACCATCTCAGATAAAGATGGGAATATTATTCATTCTCAATCCAGGAGATTGGATCGATGGGCAGAACACTTTAGGGATCAGTTCAACTGGCCTTCAGCCACACTTCAATTACCCACGATCCCCAGTCGTCCTGAATGGCAAATTGATGTAAGTCCTCCAACCCTCTGTGAGGTTGAAAAAGCTATAGGAAATCTGAAGCGAGGGAGAGCAGCAGGCCCTGACAGGTTGACCCCTGAGATTTTTAAGGATGGTGGTCCAGTACTAGCAGTGAGATTGACTGAGGTCTTAGGTAGAATCTGGGAACTGGACGTAATTCCATCTGACTGGTCCCAATCACTGATTGTGCCAGTCTATAAGAAAGGACAAAAGTCCTCTTGTGACAATCACAGAGGGATCAGTTTGACTAATATAGTGTCTAAAATATTAGCTTCAATAATACTAGGTCGCCTAACCAAAGCTCGTGAAGAGCAGACTAGAGAAAACCAGTCTGGTTTTCGACCTGGACGTGGTTGCATAGACCAGATATTCACCCTACGTCAGGTTCTAGAACATAGACACAAATTCAGACGTCCCACAATAGTAGTATTTCTTGACCTTAAGGCGGCATTTGACTCTGTTGATCGTGAGGTTCTATGGCAATGTTTGTCACTGAAAGGAGTACCAAAGAAGTACATTAACCTCATAAAGGCTCTCTACTCGAGCACAACTGGTCGAGTTAGAGCCTATGGCGAACTGTCATCAGAACTGATTACCACAAGTGGCGTTCGTCAGGGCTGTCCACTCTCCCCATTCTTGTTTAACTTTGTCATTGACATACTTTTAGAGATAGCACTTTCATCAGCTAAACCTCCAGGAGTTGAACTTTTACCAGGAGGCTCACTTGTTGACTTAGAATACGCCGACGACATAGTTTTACTCGGTGAAGACGCTGACAACATGCAGAGTCTTCTGACTACTATAAGCAACTATGCAGGCATGTTCGGGATGCGATTCTCTCCCTCGAAGTGCAAAATGTTACTTCAGGATTGGGTTGCAGCGACACCTGAACTAATGATAGGGAGTGAAGTAGTTGAGCGTGTAGACCACTTCACTTATCTTGGGAGTCTCATCAGCCCTTGTGGTCTGGTATGTGACGAAATCTCAGCACGGATACAGAAGGCTCGTCTAGCTTTCGCCAACTTGCGTCATTTATGGAGTAGGCGAGATATCCGTCTAGCAACCAAAGGACGGGTTTACTGTGCAGCAGTTCGCTCCGTCCTACTCTATGGCAGTGAAACATGGCCAATAAGAGTAGAGGATATTCGTAGGCTACTAGTGTTCGATCATAGGTGTCTTCGAAGCAATGCTCGTATATCCTGGGACCACCGGGTAAGTAATGCAGTTGTTAGGAAACAAGTACTAGGTAGGGATGGCAAATCGATTGATGAAGTAGTGAAACTTCATCAGTTGAGATGGCTGGGACATGTGTTACGTATGCCCAACCACCGACTGCCCCGACGTGCAATGTTTCATGGTGTAGGAGTAGGTTGGAAGAAAGCTAGGGGTGGCCAGACCAAAACGTGGCACAAATCAATGAAGTCACTGACAAGTGGACTGGGCCATGTTGGTAGGTGTAGACTACCTGGTTGGGATTCGCGAGATGACAGCAACCGATGGTTAGAGACCTTGAATGACATGGCTCAAAATCGTTTGCAATGGCGAAGATGCATCCACTCTTTGTGTTCTACCAAATTCTAATCTTCTGAATTCCTCATGTATTTATCTTTTTCTCTTTCCAAATTTATTTCACTGTACTATACTCCTTCAATAATTTCTTCAAACCCTAATCTTTTGGATTTCTGATTATACTCCTACTACTTCTACCACTATGGGAATTGAATCGACAACTGCATCTCTGTGCTAATGTGGTATGGCAACTCGAACTGATGTACGTACGTACGAAGTTCTACGTTGTGACTGACTGACTGAATACAACTTATGAGAAAGAAAATCAATATCGATTAAGATGAATTACTGTTACGTTGAATTATTCAATGTGGACTCTACTATTGAACTTTTAATATATTTCTATGTTTTTTGTACAGCGACAAGTACTCAGTTCAACAATTCTAATCTTTCGTAATTGACATATAATCGATTAACTTGAATGTATTTGGGATGAGTGATATACTGGGATCACCAGTAAAATACCTTAATCACTAAACTGATCCTTTTTTTACTTTAATTAGTGGGACAGGAAAGTAGAGAATAAAAGTAGTCTCGTTAGTCGTGTTAAAGTCGGAGTTGCGAAATCTTAGCATAGCCCATAAACGTAACAGCAGTATGAACACTCTTATGACCATAAACTGTTCAAAACAACGCTAATCGACCTACTGTTATGAAAATAACTATGATAACTCATAGGAATATGGTGCCACACGAAAAAGACGAGTAAAACAAGAGAATTCAACCACAATTTAGATATGTATAGCATGCTTTTTGTATCTTTAAGAAAATAAATAATAGAGTGATGGACTAGCAGTAGGTTGAGAATTCGATTTTTAATCAATAGGTTGCAGACACTTGTAGGCAGAGATGGGTAGTGGCTAGTATTAGAACTCAGGAGGCGGGTTTTATCGTACGTAGGAATAGTCAGCTGGATGTAAACTGGATCTCAATATTGACGTCCACTCCAGGACTAAAAACCAATGCCCTTCGCTTGAAACTCTTACAAGTGAATTAAGACAAGTCACAGGTTCAAAAATCATTTTATCTATTTCAGCTCCGGGTAATCGGTTAGTAGTACCAGCCCTCACACAGACGGTATTGCAGGAAGTGGATCACACAAATCCATACTTGGTAAATGAGTTACATTTGATAGTATGGGAGACTATTCTGTGTGCGTTATATGTCGTATATAAAAACTAAGCACTTCACTAAAAAATTATTGGAAACAGTCGTTTTCACAAAATTGAATAACCAAAAACCAGTTACTTTACTTCACAGTGAATTGAAAGTAAACAGTAACTTAATTACTGACACACACATAGGCTTCCCTAATCTGGTTAAATTGTACAATGCTTATTAACCTTCAGTGGTTCTTTAACTGGAATGTGAGTTGTAACGAAAGTCATCTCTGTTAAATGAATAATCAAGTGAATTTGTTTCGCATAATATATCTAACAATGATCAACGAAGCTGTTAAAACATGCACATATTATAAGCTATAAAACATTTTTTTGGAATAGATGGTTTGTGGTTAACAGTGAAATCCAGTCCTGTTGGTGGTTAATCAACCTGATGTACCTGGATTCTAATGTTGATGTTCACATCGAGACTTAAAACCAGTACTTTTCGCTCCAAAAGCTAACGTGTTATCCACGGAGCTACTAATATTTATCGTCAGGATCGATCAAGAAATAAGAAAAGGAAACTTGTTGAAATACTTTGTGCTGAGAATTCTATATTGTACCAAAAATATGATACTGAATAAAGCCATTAATATTGATAATAAAAAATAAAAAAATAAGTTCAAATATCCACTAGTACGTTCAAAGTGTATAATTAATAGATCACTACTAGTAGGGATTTGAATTATCCCATTGTTGACATTCAGGACTGAATTTTGACCAGTCTTGGTTGACATACGTGAGGATTTTGTCACAAGTTTTTTTCTAGAATGGATGAACTGTGTCTAGCAACGGACAACAGGAAAATTCAAACTCTTACCAATAAGAGTATAAAATACTGAATATGGTATTTACGGTAAGAGAAATAGAGGGAGCAAAGACAAAGTAATTACTTGGATATGACTGCGGCATTATATAATCACCTAAATGATGTTCAACAACAAGTTCAGTTGACCGGATATGGGGGTTTGAGAAACGGTCCAAATCAACATAAGCTGTTAATTCATAAAATTCATTGAACCAATCAACCCTATGAGATGAAAAAATAAAAGATACTTGAATTACAGTAGATTTTAAAAAAACATTACTCCTACTTACAGATTATTACTTGGCGAACAAAAGGGAATTATACAAGTTTTTGTATTGTTCAGGTTTTAGTCGAAATCCTGAGTACTTTTCGCTTTGATTGAGCTTACACATTAAACAAAGTACAGTTTTGAAATCTATTAGATAAGCTAGTACTTATTAAAACAAACTGGGCATACGAATTTCATCTTAATGATGAAAATTTTAAGATGGAACCATGGAAACAAAATAAAATCAGGCACAACGCTGAAATACTTCAACTTACCACTACTCATAATAATCCAAATAAAACAAATAAATGAAAAGTTTCAAGTCGAAAAAGAATAGTGTATAGAATTATGAAATAAAAAACGAAAATACATATTCACTGTTATTACACCTATCATGCTAATTCATTCAGAGTCTCCAGTCAATGGTTTCTTATATCAATAATCCCTACTGAGATGGATAAATATTTGCAGTTATTTCAGTTACTGACTTCACACACTCTTACCGCAAACGAAATAGGATGTCAAGATAGGTGGAATAGTGTGCATTACATCAGTCTTAATCATCTCAGCAAGTTTGCGACCGTAACCCCACCGATATTCGACCTTATCCCCATTCATTTCATGGTTAGAATACACGAGTTGCATTGACTGCTAGCGAAGAGGAGAGAGCACTACATATAAATAAAGTGGTTTGCGCAGTCAACCACTTCATTTCTTATATATAAATGAGTTAGCGAACATTTGTTTTAGAGAAGTAGTTGAGAACTAGGAACCGAAACTCTCCAGACGTTTAGAAAACTTTGTACTTTTTAAGGGTTATGACTCAATGTGATCAATTTATTTATACGGTCTAAACCGATATTAAGTAACCCTACAAAGATTCATTAGGTCAAGGATCAATGAAAAATAAGTACTTTTAAGACGTCCTAAACTAGGGAGAATTGACCATCCAACGACTTATGACTTTAAGGAATTTTTCGAAAAACTAATTTTAAACAATAAATTTAATTTTACTGCTTCAAACACCACTCACCTGATATCATTTGATGGTAACACAAGGCATCGATTACTATACAGATCTGACTTTTGTGTTATATCCATTCCCCTGGGTAAACATTGTAAGAGATCACGAGAGCACCAATCAGTTAGTGAAAAGCGACTTGTTGGCAAACGTGCCCAAGCGTCCAACCAATGCAAATAAGCATCACTGCACATATCCCATATACAACCAGACAATGAAGCAGCGACAATGGCTAGAATTTGATCTGTGTCTGAATGAAAGAGAGCTAGTATGTTAGATGGATAACTGTCTGATTTTAATGTATCAGTCTCATTTATTGAATACCTCGGAATTAGGTGGTTTTTTATAAAATCATATAGTGTACCAGACCATAAATTAGGACGATAAATACGTAAAAATAAACTTATTGCACACTGTTTTTCCCAATCAGAAAATTTATTCGAATAATATCTGAAAAAGTCAAAAGGTAAAAACTATAATAGATATTTGATAGGCAGATAAGAATAGTCATATATATGGTATCAGTGAACAAAAACCGAAGAGTAGTTGGTGTTAAACTGATATTAGAATGGACAATGACACTCAGTAGTGGTATAATAGTAAGTCATATTGATTTCTATTGGCTAAGTTTAAAGCGACAGCCTGGTTGTTTAAAACACTTTTGGCAGTACCATTAAAACTCATATGAAAAAGTGCGGCTTAAAGCCTAGTGTGCTTCGTCACTGAACCACAATTAATATTATCACTTAGTCCAAAAAGTGTATTATGTGCTTATGGGAATCTTAATGAATATTAAGAAACTACTGAATACATACACAATTCTTTTGACTATTAGATCAGTCAAGTGGAAATCGTTGCCTTGTAGTCCTTAAGGCAATCATATGACGATTTTAATCACTCAATATATTATTCTTGGAAGTACTAATATGACTTATCTGTCAACTTTCCCAGCGTATTATTAATACATTATGAACAAGCGAAGCTGACATACAAATCTAAAGCAATTAGTCTCTTTGATAAATTTCGATAGTGTAATAGTAAGACAAAGATTATCAGAACTATGTGATATATTAGCGCAACACATTTCGAACAATCCGATCACACATATACTTGTTAAGAACAAAGTCAACTAGACTGAAAATGGTGAGCACGAGGAGACAAGGATAATAAACCTAACAACGTGTAAACAATTTGGAACATAACTACTCTGGATAATATTACCAGGGTAGGTTTAAGGTGAGAACAAACTGTTTTTGAATACACAAAGGGGGTTTGAATTTTAGTATGGCTAAGGCTTCAATAAACCTTGGTATACACCCTTTTACACTTTCTTACAACAACATAAAAGCCGGGTTAAGATCAATCTTATGGCCTGTTTTGATTATAAGTTTGGCAATAGAGGTTGATGGATGTTTATACTCCACTCTTATTGAGTCATTTATAATATACAAATGTGAAATCAAAATTATGTACAAAATATTAATTTTATTTGTTATTGTGATTAACAGATATCGTGTAGTACTATTCTGTACAAAAGTTTGCCAGTTGACATTGTTAAAGTTTGGGATATTAAATAATAAAGAGGAAATAATTAATAGACTATGAAAAGAATGTAAGAAAACACATTTAAAAACGATATGGTATTGTAATGCATAGGATTTGCAAGGAAATGCATTCGTATGGTTAGACTGAAAGATTTAATACCTGAACCACTCTGATGGTAAATCTATTATATATACTTAAACAAACAACCAATCATTGGATGAATTTCTAGCTAGACGTTACGTCCTTGATCTGTCTACCCAATAATATACAGAAGACAACCTATCTCAATTTAGATTAAGAACTTGACACGATAGGCTAATTGTTTAACCTTCAGGCTAGAATCGCCTGAGTTCGAAGTGAGACTAACTGCCTTGGGTAGAGAGACGAAAACTACTCTATTACCTAATTGGCTGACAAGCGCGAACGAGAGAGAGGATGAGTCAACTGGGACACCACTCGATTTATTTTCAATTCTGACTCACATGCCGGTTCGGTTCCGATTCAGGTCAGTGAAAACAAGGGACATGAATATACAGACGATTAACATGACCACAACGTACAAACAATTAGGAAAATACAATTATGTCCAAAACTGGGCATTAAGGTAGAAAAATAGAGCATCAGACTACGTTTAAATTACAATAACTTGGGAACAAAAAGGGGTATGGCAGAGAATCGATACATCAGATGAAAGCTTGTGACTTGTAGAATAAACTAAAGACAAAAATAAATGTTACTGCTTTACAGGCTTTGAATTAAACGGAATGACGTCCCCAAAAATAGCTTTCGTAGTTTGTCGAGGTTTTTTGTTTGTCTGTCCACATCACTAGGTTTTGTAATAACTTATTAGTATGCATATGTTAGACAAAACACGTTGCAGTTTCACAAATATGAAATCTGGGTACATAAAGGAGAGTTCACAGTGTGTCCAGTTACATATTATTTCAAAACTTGCAAATGATATCAATAGAAACATATTGAGGTCAGTATTTGACAGAAATGGGGTCATTACTGAGATGCAAATTTTATCCAAGAATAAGAAGACAAGTAATTTATTATGATTTAGTTATAGTTTACGTAAATAACTTCAATTCTATGCTGGACTCGGATTAACAGTCAGTCAGCTACAACGTAGGACCAAGCACATATATACAATGATCCAAGTTGCCAAAACCTCATTAGCACAACAAGATCAACGCCGAATTCATAGAAATAGTTAATTTAATGGATTTGAACCCGATACCTTCAGATGTTTCATCGAGCACTAATTGGTAAAATTAAAACTATAAACTACTGGATGGTGACTCACTGATTTGAAAGTTAACCATAAAATCAAACAATCTCTGGAAACCTGACTATATCAAGAAGCTATTTTATTTACGACCGCATTAAATGCCTAAATATGGATAGATCGAAGTAGATAGCGTAAATATAAATCAACAATATTGGTACTTCCACTTCATTAATTAATACGGACAATAATGAGACAATTCTAGCTTTAAAAAGTTTCAAAAAACAAGCACGATAAAAGATAGTAAACAGTTTTTCCTATAAATCAATAGCTGTCCAAAGAAATGTAATAACTACCTACATTACAACAGGAGTATATAATAATAATGGTGAATAATGTACATATGATGTTATATAAAGAAAATAGAATTTATTTATAAACTTACCGTGACAATGTTTGAACAAAATCACGAGAATGACTCGAGAGCTTTTTTATTTTACGATAAGTATTTATATTATGCACTAATTGACTACCACCATATTGTAAGGCTAGTGTATCTCCATGTTCATCATATAAGTCCTATTAATTATCATTAAAAAAAATTCAAATCATAATTTGTACTAATGATCAGTATGTGTGTGTATAGGATAAGAAAAGATTAGCATGACTGATTGACAAAATTTGAACTGTACTAAAGTATACAAGTAGCTAGCTTTTGTTTGGAGAAAGATAGTAAGCTGATGGGAAATGCTTAAGGAGTCATAAAAAATGAATTCCAGAAATCTTAGAACTTTTATATGATGCTACGATACTTGAATACGATTTGTTCTTTTTAACAAACAGAAGAATTTGAGATAATTTGATCAAAGTTATCAGATCATTTAATAATAATCTACATCTGACATTATTCATTTTCCCAGCTTTTATAAATTGTAAATTTATAGACACAAAAGAATTCCATTGATTCATAACTAACTACTTGTTATCCGCCTTTCATATTGAGCTTTTGACGAGTGAAATTCTCTGGCCTAACAAGTGATAACAACTCATGTATGTCATTAAATAGGAATAATATATTTGTAAAATCTCAGCGAATGAATTCGTACTACAAATTCCACGAACCTGCTCGTAGATGCGCACTGCTGAGGAGTCCCATAATAGAACGAAACGGCCGTTCAGTGTTTCCAGGTTTTCCATGGTGGTCTAGCTTCATTGACTCACGCTTTCAACAATGATAACTACTAAATCTCCACAAAACCCCTTCTATAATAAATATATTATTCCTATTTAATGTCTTACATCAACTCGGCGCTCAAATACTGTGAAACTATTCACTCTAATTTAGACGAGAGTTTTTATAAACTCATATATGTGCTGAAAGAAGTTAGATTAAATGACAGAAATCCATCATCACGATTAACATTAATCATTTAGTCTTGCTTACTCGAACTGATTAATCAAATCAATGCGAAATCCGAATCATTTGATTTAATGGTTTAAAAGAAGCAGAAAACAATTACTGAAAACAAATCAGGAGAGCAGAACTAGAGTACTTAATTAGTGTTTATCATCATTTCCAACAGGATTAAAGGTGAATAAACTTGACGTATCCATTGAAAATAAATCGTGATTGGTTAATGAACGCAGACAGAAATTTATGTATGGTGTGATGTATATTCCTTTTAACCCTTTATGTCTGACATAATACACTCTGTTTGCGGATTTATCTGGTACTTGATCGCCAGTTGAATATTTGAAAGCGTATTACACAATTAAGGGCCATTTCTAGTTTCTAGTCCTAACGACCTGACTATCTAGAAACTAGTTTGCAGTTGTTTAAGATTGATAAAAGTGCTTATTTTTTCATCGTAACAGTATTTAAATGGCTAACATCGATTTTTAAGGATGAATTTATCTTGCCATCGGTGTTGTGACGTATTTGACACTTTTTTTCAATTATTCACAAAACAAACAAAAATTATCGGGTGTTACTAAATCACGACCGAATAATTAAGAATACTTGTTAAACCTCAAACACCAGCATACATTTGAGTTTACAAATAAGATCAAGATTATTCAGTTGATTAGTAGATCTTATTGTTAACGTGTTACCTGACCGTTGTTTTTATACTCAACTGAGAATACTGTTGAATAATTTTCAATACAACATGCAATAATCGAATTACAATTGACGAGGAAGCTTTTGAGGATGTGAAAACCTTTACATATCTGGGCAGCATCATTGGTGAACACGGTGGATCTAATGCAGATGTGAGGGCAAGGATCGGCAAAGCAAGAGCAACATATTTACAACTGAAAAACATCTAGAGCTCAAAACAATTGTCAAACAACACCAAGATCAGAATTTTCAATACAAATGTCAAGACAGTTCTACTGTATGGGGCGGACACTTGGAGAACTACGAAAGCCATCATCCAGAAGATACAGGTGCTTATTAACAGCTGTCTACGCAAAATACTTCGGATCCGTTTGCCAGACACTATCAGCAACAAGTTACTGTGGAAGACAACAAACCAGATTCCATCAAGCGGAGGAAGAAATCAGGAAGAAGCGCTGGAAGTGGATAGGACACAAATTGAGAAAAGCACCCAACTGCGTCACAATGCAAGCATATACATGGAATCCTGAAGGCCAAATTAGGAGAGGAAGACCAAAGAACACATAACGCCGAGAAATGGAGACAGACATGAGAAGAATGAACAATAGTTGGATAGAACTAGAAAGGAAGGCCCAGGACAGCGTGGATTGGAGAATGCCGGTCGGCGGCCTATGCTCCATTGGGAGTAACAGGCGTAAGTAAGTAAGAGAATACTGTTCTAAATAAATTTTCTAGAAGAAATTCATAAACATCACAGAGTGTAATGGATAGTTATGAAATCTCTGTTATACATTATCTCTATCATTTAATATTTTCCGAAGTAAAATCTAAGAATAGGAAACATGTTACCTTTTAGTTAAATTAAAAACTAAAATAAATGATTATTTTGACATCATGAGATTTCATGGTTATAAAAAACTATATTGATGTTTGAAGATAGTTAGGCTTTTACTATTTTATTATTGCAATACAAAACTGAACAAAAGTGTGAACTAAAGTTTCGGTACGTTTGAATTACTTAATCTAGTTGGATGATATATGGAGATAAGTTCACCTTGAAAAGTTTTCATGGTAGACTGTAGATCTATGGGAAACCACGAGAAAATGGACCAACTGTTTCGTACTAGTTTGAAACTCTAACATTCTTCGGCGCCAAAGGCAAATTTCAGAAAATGTCATTTTGAAGAAGTGATACGAAGAGATTGAGGTACTAGATATTGCCAGTATTACGATATATATAATCAATATGATCCGAACATTCGAGTTACTACAATACTCAAGAACTGGTGGTAGTTTCAACGTACCAGACTGTTAGGAACTTAGTTAAAGTGATGGATTTATTTAGTTACTTTTTTAATACAATACATCAGAGTAAAAGAGTAATAACGGAATTGTGAAAGTACTGTTTTCCTATAGAAACAGTATTATGATCACCATGGATAATTTAGAAATGTCAAATCACTGAATCTTGACCAGTAAACGTGTGGGAGAACGACGGGACAAATTTGTAGTAGACTGTCGTCTACAAAATACCTATTATACACCAGGGTCAATATATTTCCTAATAAAGTTCCACTAGTCAGTGATAATTACAAATGCAAATCTTGAAATGCTTAAGTTTATAAAATGATCAGCACTATCAGCGAAGGATTTAGTTAAGCAAAACGGATAATAAGCAATCTCATCGGTGCCAATAGAAAGAATTTACAGAAACTAACTAGTATTTACAAAAGAGAAGTAATAAATAGCAATTCACCTGTAATAATCGATCGATTTGTGAGTTATCCATAAAATCTGGCTCAGCCAAAAAGCCTAATCCATACAATTGATAAGCTAAAACAACTCGACCGATAACAAACTGTGCAGTGTTAGTTCGATCCAAACAGTCTACACAGTTTACTCGGATTATTCCACATTGTTTAGAGCTAGAAGAAAATAGCAAAACATAAAATTATTAGTTAAGAAACATAAAACCTGATGAAGTGCATTAGTAGTAGTAGTATTCAGCCAATAATACTAGTGAATCTAAAATGGGATCAGGTTATGACAGTCAATAGTTAACTGACGACTAACTTGCTAAATGGCATTAACAATAAGTAACTGCATAGTTCGAAATGAGGTCATAAGAAAGATCACAAAAGACTGTTCAATTATTATCATACTTGTTTAACATTGTGATGATAACTTCACAACTAATGCATTCAGTTTTAAAAAGAACCCCGAAAAATCATGTTTGAGACCCGCATTTATAACATTGACAAAATATAACATTTTTAGAAGTGATATGCTAAGACCATACGACAAGATTTGTCAGATTTCCCAAACACATCAGGATCAAAACAAGTGTAAGGATTAGAATGAAATAATGGACGAATGGATCCTATGGCAATATTCATTCACTGTTCGGATCAATTTGAATGTCCATAAATCAGATAATTTCTTAGTGAAACTGTTCGACAACAGAGTTGTTGCTAATAACATAATTAGCTTAAACTCTATTTCCTTTTTAAAAATGTAACCAATTTGTATCTACATGATTCCGTTAGTGACAATTAACATGAAACCTTACATAGTTTTGTATTTGATTCCAATACTAAGTTTTGTCACTCAATATTCGTTCATCGACTAAACGATGGGTTTAATGAGCAGCAGTTCGCTCTGTTCCACTTTATTTTTGAGAAACGTGGAGTTCAAAAATAAGAGATATTCTCAGGTTACTAGTATTTTATCATATGTGACCTCGGACTATTTATCACATACTTCGGGACCATAAACTTAGCAATTTTGAGGCTAAACGCGGAGTACAGGGATAGCAAATCAACTGACAAGGTTGTGAACTGTTACCAACTGGAATGGTATGTAATACGTGTTCTCATTCACCAGCTACTTCGACGTGCAATAATGGCCGGTATAGGAGCACATCAGAAGAAAGCTATCAAAAGCCAAACCAAAGCATCAATCTATTAAGACAAAGCCTATTAAACAAGGTCGTGTAGTTAGGTGCTGACTACCTAGTCCGCGTTCTGGGTCTCAAGAAGCATCATCATAAGGAATGGATCTCTATAGGAACGCTGGACAAGATTGAAGAAAGGAAGATCAAGAAAATAGCAATTAACAATAGTCGAACACGATCGGGAAAAGTCAAGGCATAAGCAGAGTACACAGAAGCAAACCAACAAGTGAAGAAGAGCATTAAAGCCGAAAAGCAGAAATACATGGAAGAACTAGCAACAACGGCCGAAAAAGCTGTAAGAGAAGGAAATATGAAACAACTATATGATACGACGAAAAAACTAGCAGGGAGATATAGCAAACCGAAGAGACCAGCCAAGGACTAATAAGACAAGACAATCACGGAGATTCAAGAATAGAGGAAAAGATGGCACAATACTCTGAGGAACTCCTGAATAGGCCAGCTCTATTAAATCTACTGGACATCGAACCAACACACACAAACCTACCTATAGACGTCACTACGCAAACGATCGAAGGAGTCAAGATGGCCATCAAAAAAATCAAGAGCAGGAGAGCGACAGGACCTGACAGTATACCAGCTGAAGCACTGAAGTCAGACATTGAAGTAACAGCAAACATGATTCACCTTCTATTCAAGAAGATTTGGGAGGAGGGACAATTGCCACTGACAGACGGGAAAGAAAGATACCTCATCAAGATACCAAAGAAAAGAGATATGAGCAAATATGAGAACTACAGAGTCATCAGTTTGCCGTCAGTACCAGGGAAAGATTTTTAACAGTGTTGCTCAACCGGATGAAAGATTTAGTATACGCCCGACTTCGAGATTAATAGGCTGGATTCCGTAAGGATCGGTTATGCACAGACCAAATTGCGACACTACAGATCATCATGGAACAATCAATTGAGTGGAACTCGTCACTATACATCAACTTCATTGACTATGAGAAGGCGTTTAACAGTGTGGACAGGAAAACATAATGGAAACTTCTTCGACACTATGGTGTGAGTAGCTAAGAAGATTGTCAACATTATCAGGAACTCATACGATGGACTACAGTGAAAAGTGGTGCATGGCGGACAGCTGAATTTTCAGTAACGACCGGAGTTAGATAAGGCTGTCTACTCTCCCCCTTCCTCTTTCTTCTGGTGATTGACTGGATTATGAAGACTTCGACATCCGGGGGGAAGCACGGAATACAATGGACATCTCAGAACCAATTAGATGATTTGGACTTCACAGATGACTTAGTCCTCCTCTCTCATACACACGAACAGATGAAGATAAAGACAACTAATGTGGCAGCAGTATCTGCATCAATAGGCCTCAACATACACAAAGGAAAAAAATAAAATCCCCAAATACAACACAGAGAACGACAAGGCCATCACACTCGATGGTGAAACTCTGGAAGAGGTGGAAACATTTACGTACCTGGGAAGCATCAGTGAAGAACACGTAGGATCTAATGAAGATATAAAGGCGAGGATTGGCAAGGTAAGAACAGCACTTTTACAATTGAAGAACATATGGAACTCAAAACAACTGTCAACTAACTTCAAAGTGAGAATCTTCAATAAGAACATCAAGATAGTCATACTGTACGAAGCTGAAACGTGGAGAACTACAAACATCGTGAAGAAGGTACAAGTATTTATAAACAGTTGTCTACGCAACATACTCATCACACACTGGCCGGATACCACCAGCAACAGCCTACTGTGGAAGAAAACAAACCAACATCCAGCTGAGGAGGAAAGTAGGAAAGGATGTTGGAAGTGGATAGAACATGTACTGAGGAAATCACCAAAATGCATAATGAGGCAAGCCCTAACATAAAATCCTGAAGGGAAACAGAAAAGTGGGAGGCCGAAGAACATACTACATCGAGAATCGGAAGCAGACATCGGAAGGATAAATGTTAACTGGAAAGGATTGCCCAGGGCAGGGTTGGATGGAGAATGATGATGGGCGGCCTATGCTCCTCCACGAGGGGTAATAGGCATAAATAAGTAAATTATACTTTCTTCTAGAATCGTATACTCTATGTGTAATCGTTTTTACTATCACTAATCATGTTATTACTTCTACCACCTTGAGATTTGCCCTGACTACTTTATCTCTGTACTAATGGCGTATGTCAACTTCGACCGATGTACATGTTTCATGTTCTACTTTGCATGTGACTCACAAACTGAACTGCTATCAATTCACCTACATCAAACTGTTTGGGATAAGTTTGTTATAACATAGAACATATTACCAGTAACGCACATATTAAATTATGAATAGAATTTGGGCAGATGTCCTAAAACAGACCAGTATACAGACCACATTTTTTTGTCATTTATAGCTGACTGTAATAATCTCTTTGAAAGACAGGAAAACTTGGCAGATAAGACTGATTGTTCCGTGTGAAATAAAATACGCTGCACGGTAAATCATATAAATTTTGATAAAGTAGAATTTTGAAGAAAAAAAACTTCCATTTCAACATACAAAAAAATGAATAGAACTCGAAAATATTTCGTTAAAATAAGTCTGACACCTTCACTGTACACTAATATATATATATATATGTTTAACAATAGTAATAAAATCGAGACCAATAAAATACTGCTGTATTAGATAATCGTATGGTGGTGTGTGCTACTGATGTCAATAGATATAAGTAGTATCATCAATCGAAAGTGGAATACCTGGCGGCAGAAGGTTGAGAGAATCTAAGATTGCTATGAAAACGAAGGAACAACAAAATCTGATGCAATTGATGGATATTTTGAAATGAAGTATTGCTGTACGGTTTTCAGATTTTACTAAGATATTCTGTAAGTTTATATTTAAATACACATGATTGTCCCCACTGGTGTTCTCGTTCACTACAGTATTACCAATATTATTGTAATACTGTAGTGAACGAGAACACTGGTGGGGACAATCGAATGTATTTAGACACAAATTACAGATTATAACACTAAATTCTGATAACCATACAATGAACAGTTAATTTGCAAAATAACTATAAATTGTCTCAATCTTCACTGTTCCTTCTGTAAATATTAATCTATCTTCACTAATTTCCTTGTTTGTACATTTTCCTACCAAACGCGCTTCATTTCAGTTCTTTCCTTATTGGTCTTCTGCCAAAATACATTCTATGTCCAACCATCACCATATACTACTTATATGGATATAAGTAGACCACACCATAATACTACTACTTAATACATCGCTAATTAATTAGCATTGATTTTACTAAAACTGTTAAACATACAAATCAATGTACAGTCAAAAAGAAAAACTAATTAAACAGAAATATTTCTTTGTTCTATCCATCCTTTTTTTTAAATAAATAATTTACTTGAAACCAATTGTTCTGTGTTTTTCAAATTGAATTTCTGATATTGGTAAAGAAGCAGATGATGAAAAATATATTCCAGTACGACGTACACAATTGTCTATAATAGGCTGTAATTTATTTAAAACAACAGTACGTTTCATTTTTTGCACACGAGCAATATCGAATCCAATATACATTATAGGTGGACTACTATCAATTGTTTCAATAAAAAGTGTATTTAATGAATCAGACGGTTGAGGAATTCTAGAAGGTAAAAACTAACAGAAAAAAATATCCAAGATAATGATAATAAGTTTATATTTTGAAAATAATAATGAGTCAAAAATTAAAACAAACAATGATCCTGATAACCGAGACAGGAATGTTTGATTTTATTTATAAAAAAGAAAGACGTTAAATTCAAGTAAATAAATATTCGTAATGTGGACAAAGAAGTACATTGTTCAATCCCTCTTTGTTTATAATACAAGACACAGTAGAAGTAGAAATGGTGTAGTAATCAAATAGCGTATATATTTAATGACCAATGTAGCGTTCCATCAGAGTAAGCAGTCAAAATAATTCCCCCACCAAAAAGAAGATTAATTGTATTATTCACTGATAGAAATGAAACAACAAATAAGCATGACTGATGGGTGATGTCAACTGATGGTTCATTTTTTTGTGCAAGAAAGGTTACCTGAGTAATATACAAGTAAATACAAATTCGTTGATATTATTTTAAAAAGATAGAAATACTCATGCAATACTATTGTAATCAGCAATAAGTGTCATTTTTAACTCCCACAGAAACTTTATATCTCATTGAGCTGTAGAATATCAGAATAAAAAGCCTGGTCTATTACTTTGAAACACTAACACCAGCTATATACATTTCTAAGCAATTTGAAACTATAATGAAAAACCGATTGAATGATATGCGTTGATTGGTTCAAAAATATAACAGACTGTTCGGTATAACTGTCACATTACGTAACAGTATGAGTCAAAATCTAGAGTAGGAATATATTCCTACCTCGTTGATCAATAAGGATGATTTCTAAATCAGTCTTAACCTATCACAATTAGTCAGTCAGCTACAACGTAGGACCAAGCACATATATGCATTGGTCCAAGTTGCCATACCTCGTTAGCACAACAAGATGAACACCAGATTCATAGAAATAGTTAATTTAGTGGTGGTAGAAGTATATAAATTATAGGTTGTATATAAGGATATAGCAGAGGAAGGAAGAAAATTATGAAGCAATTTTAATCTCAAGGTTTAAGGGAAGATAAAGAGTGTATACACCTACGCCATTGTGATCGATTCTGAGCCATGTCACTTAGAGTCTCCAACCATTGGTTACGATAGTCACGCGGACCCCAACCAGGTTGTCTGAATCTGCCAACATGGCTCAAACTAGAAGTTAGTGACTTCAAGCACTGATGCCATGTTTTGGTTTGGCCGCCCCTAACTCTCTTCCAATCATCCCCAACACTAGTCAGCATTGCGCGTCGTGGTAATCGGTGTTCAGGTATACGTAACACGTGGCCCAACCATCTCAGTCGATGAAGATTCATAACCTTGTCAACTGATTTACCATCATTCCCTATTACCATGTGTCTAACCTCACTATTACTTACCCGGTGATCCCAGCAGATGTGAGCAATATTTCTAAGGCATCTGTGGTCAAATACTAGTAACCTACGAGTTTCTCCTACTCTTAATGGCCACAGCCGCAAAGTAGAACAGAGCGAACTGCTGCACAGTATACTCGTCCCTTAATTGATAGACGGATATCTCGTCTTCGCCATAGGTGACGTAAGTTGGCAAAAGCCAAACGAGCCTTTTGAATCGGTGCTGAGATTTCGTCAGACACCAACCCATTAGGGCTGATCAGACTTCCAAGATAAGTGAAGTTGTCGACACGTTCGACTACTTCACTCCCTATCCTTAGTTCGGGTGTTGACGCAGGGCAGTCCTGGAGTAACAATTTACATTTGGATGGGGAGAATCGCATCCTAAACATCCTGGCATTATTACTGAGTTCCAACAGAAGACTCTGCATTTTGCCAGTGTCTTCACCAAACAGGACTATGTCATCTGCGTATTCTAAGTCGCTTAGCGGTCCCCCTGGTAGGAGATCAATTCTTGTAAATACTTCTGAGGTACATCTTTCAATGACAAACACTGCCACAGAACCTATCGGTCTACAGAGTCAAATGCTGCTTTCAAGTCAAGAAAAACTATCATTGTCGGACGCCGATAAGCGTGTCTGTGCTCTAAAACTTGACGAATGGTGAATAGGTGGTCGATACAGCCACGACCAGGTCCGAGATTGTCTCACTTACACTTGACTTCTTAATTCCGGTTTCTTTTATTAGTCTGAATAGTTGCCTGGTGTTGCCTACAGCCGCTGCCTTTTCCATCTCTTTTGCTTTCGTTGCCCACCACTGCTCACGATCGTTCCTTAGGCTTTTAGTTAACCTAGATCTAATTTGTTTACACTCTTCGTCATGTTCAGAGCCTAATGGGATGAGTTTACGCGAATCCATCAGTGAAATAGACTTAGAGGAAATCCACAGGTTTTTTGGAGCCCTATGGTTTAAATGACTAATAGATGTAACTGCTGTTTCCACAGCTGTTCGTATGTCTTTCCAAGCAGCATCTGGGTCAGTCTTGTTTACAGAACTGCCTAGATGTGAACTCAGTTGTTTATGGAATTCGAATTTGGCTTTCTCGTCCTCCAGTTCAATCTTAATGAGTCTTCTTAGTGTACTTTTCCTGCGTCCATTGAGGCGCAGACAAATGCGCGCTCGTATTAAAGCGTGATCAGAGTCTAAACAAGTATTCCAATACGAGCGACAATCTTCTATTGAGCCTCTCCAGCGATGACTGATGACAATATGGTCTATTTGAGTGCATCGTTGGTTTGGTGAAGGTGGCAGAAACGACGAAAAGGCAACAACGTGTGTCCCTATCCTTCCGAGTTCTTACCGGGCCATTTAGCCGGACAGCACACAGGCGACTGTTAACAGGGATCCATTCTAGTAGTACCTGTTCTGCCCTAGTACTTGATGCTATGCCTACACCTGCAAGTCCGCGAGAACTAGCCAACGGGTCGCCAGATACACGGAGGGTGTATTTCGTTGGCTGTCCATTTTGGCGAGGTGAGGTCAAGTGAATGACCACACTAGAATCCTGTATGCGTGTTTCGGAGACACAGCATACATCAATGGTACGAGATTCTAGGGTTTTAGCTAAGGACGCCTGTTGACCGACTTGGCATAAGGTACGTACGTTGAAGGCTCCAATTTGTAGTTTGGAGCGAGGTTTTAGTAGACCTGGGACAGCGTTTCGCGCACTAGAATCGTTGGCCATGGTGACACTTGAGAAGGAAACCGAGAGAGGAAGTTTAGTGTTGAAAGTCAAGGAAGAAGGAATAGTAGGAATTGAAGAAGGAGATAGATTATGAATACAGTGGTCTTGAGTGCCGTTAGAGATATGAGGGCAGTTATCATTTCCCGGTTGCCCACACCGTGGAAGGGTTCTTCTAGGGGTACCTGAAAAGGAAATTGGGTTAGAAGTGGTCTTAATGACCTGATAGCGTGACCACAGTGCCCAAGGGACAACTGCTTGAGGTCGGTCACACACAACCTTTTTATGGGTAGTTTTTGTGTTAGCTCCGTTCTTCAAAGGACCTTACCGCCGGAGACGGATATCCGTGAGATAAGGCGAGGTGTGCATTTTTGGGGTCGACCATTTCTAACCCCACCCCTCCTTGTGGGAAGGCAGCATCACTGTCATGCTGGTTGTCTGAAGGAAACACCTTACTGCTTTCACACCTCTGTACAGTCAACAGTACGACTTCGGACCTTAGGTTTGCTGCTTTTAGTCTCACCGCTCTTCAAACGACCTGTCTGGCATGGTAGGACCTTGAGGAACGACTGTTCCAGCCAGTATAGCTCGATTGAATCATCACGATAGGCATGTCCGACCACCACGTCAAGGTAGCAGCAACGGTCGGGCTATCACAATTAATAAAGATACAGATAATAAATATAATGATATAAGCCAACGACACGTTGATACTAATATTAGTACATCAGTTTTAATTGTCCTACATTTTCGACAGTAAACAGGAATAGAATATTGATTTCTTTGATTTACCGTTGGTGTCATCTTTCATCATTTATTTCTGCCAATACTAGTTACATAAACAATTTATATGCGTCTGGCTTTCGCCAACTTGCGTCATTTATGGCGTAGGCGAGATATCCGTCTAGCAACCAAAGGACGGGTTTACTGTGCAGCAGTTCGCTCCGTCCTACTTTATGGCAGTGAAACATGGCCAATAAGAGTAGAGGATATTCGTAGGCTACTAGTGTTCGATCATAGGTGTCTTCGAAGCATTGCTCGTATATCCTGGGACCACCGGGTAAGTAATGCAGTTGTTAGGAAACAAGTACTAGGTAGGGATGGCAAATCGATTGATGAAGTAGTGAAACTTCATCAGTTGAGATGGCTGGGACATGTGTTACGTATGCCCAACCACCGACTGCCCCGACGTGCAATGTTTCATGGTGTAGGAGTAGGTTGGAAGAAAGCTAGGGGTGGCCAGACCAAAACGTGGCACAAATCAATGAAGTCACTGACAAGTGGACTGGGCCATGTTGGTAGGTGTAGACTACCTGGTTGGGATTCGCGAGATGACAGCAAACGATGGTTAGAGACCTTGAATGACATGGCTCAAAATCGTTTGCAATGGCGAAGGTGCATCCACTCTTTGTGTTCTACCAAATTCTAATCTTCTGAATTCCTCATGTCTTTATCTTTTTCTCTTTCCAAATTTATTTCACTGTACTATACTCGTTCAATAATTTTTTCAAACCCTAATCTTTTGGATTTCTGATTATACTCCTACTACTTCTACCACTATGGGATTTGAATCGACAACTGCATCTCTGTGCTAATGTGGTATGGCAACTCGAACTGATGTACGTACGTACGAAGTTCTACGTTGTGACTGACTGACTGAAACAATTTATATGAACATTTAACTATTTAGTGATTCGATAGCAGTATGACCAATAAAAAATAACATTTACCTTGTGAATCACTTTCATTCACAATTGCTAGATGACACGTACAAAAAAAACGGTATTGGGTCTTACCTAGTTATGAAAAATTCTAAGATGTCTTTCTCTAAATTGGACTAAGCTAATTACTAAAATTTATTTCAATTATGATAAACATAACATTATTAGCTTACTTGACTTAAATAGGTAATTCCACGTTCAAATCTATCAGATAAAATTATTTCAAATTGTCTTTTCTCTCGTTTTTTCATCAAATTAAGTACAATAACTGGAGATCCATGACGTTTAAGTAAACTGGCGAAATGTAAACCCATCGATTCATAGAATGGATCATCACGCTGAAGATACGGAAAATTAATTACAGTCATTAACAAATTAAAATCCTAATAAAAATGCACCAACTAACTTAAATACAATTAACCATTAACTATTCTGTGATTTAAAATAAGACAAACGATATTCTGCTCTTCAGTACTCTCCATAGTTTTTTAAGACAATGGAATTTCGATAAAAAGATTTGAAGGATATACAGTTGTTGAATATGAAACTGAAATATACGCTCTAATAAATTTGTCGTTCAGTTTCATTTACCTGAAGGTCCTTTTGTGTGCCGCAATATACTACTTACTAATATACAGTAGTTAATGTTCCACCATTTCTATTAATTGTATGCTGTAACGAATTCTGTTGTCTTAACATCATTTATCAGACCAATTTCTGGTCCTATTTGAGTTTTTAGTCCTTTTAATTTTAGCAATATTTCCTCTTCCTATTACCATTTAGGATCTCTTTTGTGTACTACTCTTTGAAATCTTGTTTATTTTGAATGTTTTGTTGAAACTCCCAAAAAGGTTTAAGTTAATTTCGTGAATCGCTAAATATATCCTTTTTAATACATCAGTGTGCTATTTGTTGATATTTAAACAGTACGAGTTTTGACTTTATATTTTTTCATCTATCTGAAAATAATTTCTCGTTAACCGTGGCTGAGACGATACTTCAATACATCGCAATTCGAGGCTTGTAAACTGTTTACGTCGTCTTCTATATAAACGTATTCGATGTCCAGATAAATTCGTCTTTTGATTTCAGAATTCGAGGCCTAACTCAGTTGATAGCTTAGAAAACTCAAACGGACTCCATAATTTACCTTACACAGTTGTAGGCGAATCCCAAGATTTTTAATACCCAAGTAAGTGATATTCAGTTTTATAGTTAGATACATTATTTGGTTACATAAACTTAGGTGATAAATCCAAGATTGAATTAAGTGAATCTGGTAATGAGTAGAAGCTGATACTATGTTTATGAGGTTATTCAGTAAATCAACATATCTGACTGCAGTACTAAACGACAAAATCTCATTTATTGGTGGTAAAATACTACAGTAAACACGCCTTAGTGTAATATTTAAGAGTAAACCGATCAGGAGTTTCTCTCAATTTCCATTAAGCATCAAGCACGATAGCAAATACCAAGAGTTTTAAGTATGATATGAGTAGGTATATTTCCCCCAACTAATAACATATTTCAGTACTTAATGGAACAAATAAATAAATTGCATCATGTGACATGTGTCACGTTGAGATCGTATGGAAGATTCACAGTTCAGGAGGATGATTTTGATGGATTTTTGTCCTCTGAGCTGGGCAGTTTGTTTGTGGAGCTTTCATGGTTCTTCTATACAGAATCGTCAGCACAGACTTCGAGTGGAAGTGAAGTATTCGAAGTTTTCCACATATGACTAACAGCTTGTCCTATTGACCTCGACCTTGATTAGTTATTGTTGACTTTTAACTTGTCACTAACTACCGCTCTATTTTTGTTGTACCTCCCTTTGATCTGATTCTTGGTCCTATATATTTGAGTGGTTTTCCTGATTGGTTTATAAATCGGATCAATTTCAAAGTGTTTGTTGATTGTTGATTGATCTGGGTGCCCAGCTTCTAAAAATTCTCTGATTTCCTTAGTATTCCCTCTATTCAAGATTTCAACATTTTTCAAGTCGAATATGCGTCCACAATTATCCACATACATAGATACAAGAATACTTCACTTCTACCTGAATTTCGCACTAATGACGTTACTCAGAAGAATAATGAAAGCTCCATGACCAATCCATCCAGCTCATAGAACAAAACCACTAAAAATGTACTACGTTCTATACTGCAAATGACTGACAGAATCTATGAATACGAAATCTATCCTCTTCCATTTCCAATAAAATCTTGAAAGTAAATAAAGCAACAAAATGAAAATTCTAATGCATACATTTAGGAAAAAGACGAAGTGCATGATTGTTCAAGTGAAAATACATCCATAAAATATTTTCAAGACAGTAAAAACCATATTGTATCATTATTTATTTATGGACTAATGATAACCACTATGGAAATGATTTCACGTACCTATAATTGGCTCAAAAATTGTAGTACTATATTTGCACTGCAGAGACAACCACGAAATCAACTGATGATAGTTAAAAAAGTTTTATAAACAGATTATTTGATCCTAGATAAATCTATTAGCGCGATTACGAAGTTCAATTTGAACGGGTTGGCAATGTAAGAAAAGCTCATTCACTTGGAGTTTTAATAATTGGAGACGATTGATTAAAGAACTGGTTTGCTATTAAACATCTTTGGTGGCCTGTATCTACAAGCGCCAGAAGTACAAAGTTTATGTTCATGATAGTATCGATCTTTAGATTCAGTCGTGCAACAGTGGTTGCAATTGCATAACTTCTAAGGGGGATTTGAAGAGTCACTATGCCCTAAAGTTGCAACGAAGTGATAGAAGCATATTCTTGGAACCTATAAGTGATCTCTAGGAAAATATCGAAAAATGATGTACTACGTGAACTTATATTGAAGCAAAGCACGTCCTCATGGAGGATAACTGGAAGTATTCATCAGAAAGTTTTGAATCTGGGTTCTGCTCCAGTTGGGAGTGGTCAGCCAAACATGCCAGCACTCTTGAGGGAACGGAGTCACACAGTGCCAAAGTTAAGGATACAAACATGGCAAAATGAGCAATAAAAAGTAATAACGTTAGAACATGTTAATGTATATAAATATGTGTAAATGTAATACACTTACTAAAATTTCTAAAGGTGGTCTGCCAACAACAACTTTAGAAGATTCTTGTGACCAGAATAACGGTACAGAACCACGCATTTGTACATAAGATGAAACGCGTCCATGACGAAGAAATGAATATGAGCTATCATGTACTATTTGTTCTGTTTCCACCTGAAGAAAAACCCATTTAAATTCACCTGTAAAACATTAGACATTGAAATCTATGGAAAAACATAAATTAAATATCGAATTGCTATTACACGATTACACGGTGATAGGGTAGCCACAACTACGTTCCCTAGGCATAAATGGATATAACTGAGTTGATTCACAACAGCGAAATGGAGAATTTTTTCATCATACAGACATTTTGCTTTATTTAATTACTAGTCAGTATATTATCAGATACACGATCTATTTTGTAAGCATAAATGTTGTATTATATTTACTACAGGAAAGCACAAGTAGCTCAAAATCGTTAGCATTAATTATTAGTAATGATCATAACTGGAATTTTTCGGATAATTTGGACGCGTCAAACAATCATTAAATAATTGGCTAGCTTTACTGAAGCCAACAAACAACTTAACAGTTTGTACTGCCTAATAATATTTACCACTGATGTTTTATGATCATCCCTAGTATGTCTAAAAAAGTAGACTAAAAGGAAATTTGGATTTCGGTGTAAAGACCAGTCACAGCAAATCACTTTTCCAAGTAGGACTGTCGTAAATTCGATGGATAAATAACGATAGATTACTTAGTACAGACTGACAGAAATATTATTTACATGACAACTAGTTTGGTTCTCAGTTGAGTAGCATCAAACGTTACTACTACTAGTATTTACTATTACTTAAACGTGTAAATATTGGTACATGAGGGACCCTAATATATATGCACCATACAATATAAACGAGATTGTGAAGAGATAAAGGAAGGTGCGTATAATAAAAAATGAGTAAAAATAAATATAAATTAGTGCATGAGAGCGAATAATAATAATAATAATAATAATAATAATAATAATAATAATAATAATAATAATGGTTGGAGAAGCAATTCAGTAAAGAAAAATGCAACCAAAAAGAATTCTTTCAGTTAACGAAGTTACTATCACTTATATGGAGAAAGTGAAAAAAATTACAACAGGTCCATCATTCGCTTCTCTTCTGAGCAATGTTTGATAAAGTCTCAAGCCGATGTGCTGCACCATCTCTGGGACCCCAACCAGGGAGTCGTGAAGGACCAACAGAAGCCAGTCCCGTACAGCTTTCTTGTAAACCTCGACATCAAGCAATATGAGCACATCTATGCTTTTCCTAACCGGTTTTAGCGTTTGCAGTGTGCAATGTGGGATTCGCTGAGACGAAATTCGTAGTACTGGACGGCCGTTCAGTGGTTCCAGGTTTCCAGTAGTGGTCTAACTTAGACAGGTTCATGATTTCAATGAAATTTAACAATTTCTGCAACCCTATGCTGAAAAGTTGTTGATTCTGTGAAAGAAGCGACTTAAACAAAGCCGAGAAATGTCAGAAGTCCAATTTTCTACTCATTAGGATATTACAATTTAATCCCTATTGTTGCTATGAGAATTTAATAGTACTTTTATGTGTATTGTGCAAGCACTTCAGTGTTTATTACAAGCCACTCTATACTAATGTTACTGTGTATTACAATATCTGGAACCGCTTCCTTTATTCAAAATTGAACTCTATAGTTAAAAGTGTAAATTTAAATAGTTTCAAAGTGAAATGAAATAATTATTCTTCATATCTGATGCTCTTTAGCTGGATTTTAAATGATATAAATTAGTTACGAGAATCGATTTTGAAAACTAATCACAATTCATAAGGAATTACCATTATAAGAGAAAATATGCCTCAAAATTGTATGATGAAGTTAAAAAAAACTGGCATAGAATCACACTTACTTCATTTGCAACATCGCCAACTAGATTAACACCACGTTTCAAAAATCGCCGACCAGCGAAATGCCTTGATCTACGAGCAATAAGAGTAATCATCATTGGCATTCGGCAAGCAGATAAGGCTATTTGACTAACACTACCATGAAATAACAAAGTGAACCATTCAGGCTGATCACTAATGGGATGAAGGCCATTACGGTTACACCCTGGTCGAAATCTCGGTGGAATTAATCTCCAATTCCAAACATACTTATCATTGGGTATATATTTCGATGTTAGCAGATGGATATGTTCCCGACGATCAGACTTAAACAACTTGGAAACAAAAAGAAATCAGATAATTACATACGCTCTAAACAGCATGACACCTATGCAGTATAGCTCATGGCATAGATACTCAAAGATGGGACAAGAATTAAGTGTGATACTTGCATATTTGCAAAATTAAGAGCATACTTCGACTGGTATATATGATTGAAAGCTGACTATATATCGTTACATTACAATGTAATAAGGAAATTTAAACGAGATACTCTGTAGAACATGTTTTATGAACAATAAATATATTTTTTAGTTACACTGGGACAGTGACGTGAAAAAAAATCGTGTATTTATTAACAGAATGATTTATTTTCTTACTGTGCAAAAAAGTAGTATTCAAAAAAACGAAGGGGAAAAATATAAATTTTAAAAAGTGTGTGTAGATGTTTCTAATAGCTGATTGTTTATCACAATATAAAAAAAGAGCAGGATATTTGGAGAACTACATTGAGTAACGGCGGATATCAATGATTAACCCGTGTTTAATCCCTTCTCCTCCATCTAAATTCATCCCCACATTGATCGCCTCTTTTTGGATATCAGACTATACTACCCATTACTATTTGATAGTTTATGTTTTTATCAGAATCCTGGGTCTGGTAATATTTGATTTGAATATTTGATTACCTATCGTAATATACTGTGGTGTGGTCTACTTATATCCATATAAGTAGTATATGGTGTGGGTCAGACATAGAATGTATTTTGGCAGAGGACCGAGGAGGAAAGAACTGAAATGAAGCGCAATCGTTTGGAAAATGCATGAGCAACGGAATTAGAGAAGAAACAATGAAGATTGAAACAATTGGTTGTTAATTTGCAAATTGACTGTTCATTGTTTGGTTATCAGAATTTACTGAGATAGTCTGTAATTTTTGCTTAAATACATTCGATTGTCCCCAGTCGTGTTTTGTTCACTACAATACCACTAATACTAAGCAGTTGCATTCTACCTATTTCAAAAATATTTACATACCTGTGACAGAATTCATTTGCCCTTTTAATTATTTAGTCTATGTTATGGGTGTTACCCATTGAAACTTTGTTTATTCTAATAAGAATCTATATTTTGGAAATTAGTGCAGAATAAGTGCCAGTTTATAGGCCTGATCAGGCTTATACAAAATTTTGGGTAATAATAGAAATTCAAGTCTACTTTATCTGGAATGATATGATCTCCAAGTAACTTAAAAATGAGCATTTTGAATAAATTTTACAAAGCGAATGTGAAACAATGAGCGTAATAAATAGCATAAAAGTTTGAGTGAAATGATTTTACAGTACGACATTTAGTAATTGTTTACACTTCATAGCAAAAGATAGATTCAGTGGTGATAAACTTATCAATAGTGTACAAACTGAGAATACATACAGAAATACTAAGAATGTGATATGAAGGAACCGTTAGTTATGTTTTGGTATGAACAATATAACACGTTCGCTAAAGACGGTAAATGGAACAGTTTGAGCACTGTAACTTTCAGTTTGTTTATTTGAAAGGGCGATACCAACAAGAAAAATGTCTAGCTTATAGGCTGCGAAATTATCACGTATTCTGGAGATCGAAGTACCATTATCACCAAATAGTAAGGTTAATAGTATATTTTGATTTTATTTCTTTCCAGTTACAATATGTATGCACTCATTAGCAACAAGAAAAATGACAAGAACAGGATGAGAAAGGAATTGGTCAAAAGATTGTGGAGATGAGTCTCGTAAAACGTTCTACACACGCATTTATTGTACCTGAAATCTTATATATCTAATTATTTCACATCAGCTTGTTTTCTGCAATTTTTCTCGGTTTTTTTTACCATTAAGCCATGAGGTGCTATTTAACGTACATTTAGTAGACAACGAAAATAATTAATAAATAAAATCATAGAACTTACAGGCTCCATGTTATATTGTAAACTATGAGATAAATCATAGGTGTAACTAAAGTAAAAATTGCTAGCTAAATCTACACTGCTAAATAGTTTTAAATATCGCATTTCATCACTGGAGAGTTTTTTACGTCCTATAGAACTTTTAATAAAATGAAATAGTCCTGTTTGTTGTTCATCTTCATTAGAGCAAGAATCGTCATCAAGATCTTGTGAAACTGTACTATTTAAAGAAGATATTGAAGAATAATGACTTCTGGAACCATTATTTGCAAGTCCGCTTTCATCAACACAATGATTCCCAGGAATATAAAGTATAGCAGTATCTTCAACCTTTGAATACAAGAAAATATAAAATGTTGAAACCAATGTGCAAACAATGGATAGTAAAGTGATTATACGTCAAATCAGAAAGTCAGTGTAACAAGTTTAGATCATGATAATATTTAGAATGGGCTGTTATAGGAATGAACATTGGTGACTTCGGATGTATCTGTTTCTGCCAGCAATTTACAATATAAAACTTACACTTAACAACCACCAAAGTATAATCATATGGGAATTTTTAACATGACGGAAAATTTTACCAACTTTATTAGGTGTGCCAATAACAGAAATACAACTAGATATAGAATAGACAAAATATGGCTAACAGCGGAATCCAGGACGAGCGTTTTTTCTTATCGTCGTAATAGTCATATCAGGGTAATCCGCACAAGATCTCAATATGCCAACCAAAACTGATTGCATTTCATTGAAAATATCAACAATGCGGTAATCCAAACCATTTTAAATTGAATCAGAAATACAACTAGTTTGAGAAGAAACGTACCGTTTATTTTCTGAAAAATCAACGTGTCGGTTGATAGGAAAAATCTACAAGATTAAGTTCCAAAACCAAAACACTCATTGTGTAAGGGTTACCGATACTAATTACTTGCTTGAACAGAGCAAATTAACATATGAGACAAGTTGTCATGCAGAAACTAATGTAATACAGTTTATTTCCATTTCCTGAAGGGAAATAGTAGGGATACGTATTACTTTACGATGCCTTTTATCAATTGTTTCTAACCAAATAAGTGACTAGTCACAATGATACTTTAAAACAAAAAATAAATTGGACATTCTTCCGCTTCATATACTCCAGTCATTGCAGTGCATGAAATCACTAAAAATTAGGTAAAAGTTGGAGTCTGAACAATTGAAAATTCTCTTACTGAACGTGATTAAATGTCCGGTTGGATATAGTTACTACTAGAAGCTAATATCAATCATAAAATCAATGGAAGTAATGAAAGACCGTTTCGCACTGTCAGTTATATGCACTATGTCAAGACCTATCGATGCTAATAAATACCATGGGATTGAGTTTAGTGGATTCCATATCCTTTGAAAGCGTAACTTCTAAACATTTAAAACTTTGCCTAAACCGATGATGAGACAAGTAATTAGTGAAAATTTCTTTTTATCCAACTACGGTAAGTAATTACTTTGACTCGTCGTAAAAATACAACCAATGACGGAAATTCAAGTTGTTGGTTGTTTACCACATAGGTTGTTTATAAAGTGGTAAACTCCATCGAGAACTATGCTGTCAGCTAAAATCTGGAAACTCCCAGTTGATGGAGCTAAAACTTAGTGTCTTTTAGGAAAGGTCAAGCATGAGGTCATATATTAATTGAGTCACTTAATTCAGTTCTCTTAAGTCCTAATAGCGTCTTATTAACTAACTGATAAAACCCCGTTTCTTCCAGTTGATTCATTTTGAATGAAAAGCAAAACAGGAAGAAGTTCAAAAAGTGTACTTACCTTACAGATTTGATGTTCACCTAATTGTGCAACCACTGAGTATTTAGTAATTAAGATAAGGTAATAACCACGTAAAAATCGTACAACTCCAACGACCCCATAGCATTTTGTAACTAAAACTAGAGAACGTTTACTGCTACCAGTGAACAGAGCAGAAGCTGCAGCTTGTTGTAAATCTTTTGGATTAGAAGGCATATCGTCAGATATATTTGAATTCGAAATAGATGAAGTTTCGTCGATTTTGGGCAAATGTTCCTGAGATCGATGCTTTGAAAAAAGTGAAGTAAAACGTGACCATTTAGGAGATTTTGATGCCTCCAACTTGTCGTTACTATGAGAACTAGTTTGCGGATGGAAATGCTACGAATATCAGAACATTTTGCAAAATTACATAATTTATGGGTAGGATTTAAAAGTTAATACGCACAAATGAAACTTTAAGTGCAAACTAAAACAATTTTAATATTCTTATGACTACAAAACCGACATCACATATGGTCCAAACTAGGAAAAAAGTACCTTCTATCATGGGATCGCGGGTCAACACTATGTCTTGTTTAGTTCATTCCCAACTTTTTACAACCCGATGGACATCAGGGTAGACGGTGGCTAGAAAAGCATCACAGAAGCCCCAATCACTTCAACTAGTAAGGGTTCATAAGCTAATTAAATGACTTTTCCTTTTCACTCAGTAGCCCACTTGGAAACTAAGCATTACTCACTCGGTAGTTGTCGTAGGCATGCGATACTTCGAAGACATGTACGAGAAAATAACTACAGCCTAAGTATGTTTTTGGCTTCGACAGAGTACGCTTTAGTCGTAGAACACTGATGCATATTAAACTTGTCATATGATGAAGACAATCATAACCACATCAGCATAGAGGAAGTAAATTGAAAAGATGAACAGTAGAAAAGTTGAAGTAATAATTGTATCAACGGTAGTGAGAAAGGCTAGACAATTTCAAAAAAAGAAGTGAGGAGTGTAAACGTTGTGAAATAGTATCAAAACTCAAGAGCATCATAAAGACGAAGAGTAAATGCACCTAAGTTACTGAGACTGATCACAATTCATATCACCTATTCTCCAACCACTGAGTACTATTATTAGTTATCATTATCGTGCGGATCCTAACCACACACTTTACACCTACTAACAGTCATTGAGTGCATGGACCGACGCTACATTTTGTTTTGCCCCCTCCCAAACTTTAATCTATGCTAAGCCTACCCCAGAGACAAAGATGGGTGCCACGGTACACGATGTTTAGACACAAATGACAGCTACTAGTTGACAGACAGCCGTTAAAAAATGAGACTAGGTCGAGAACTTACAAATTGTGACATAAGATAGGACCAAATAGCTATGTCGTTGAGTTCATCGATTATAATTTTGTTTTTCATATTAGAAATTAGTATACAAAAGTAGTTTAGTTTGTTTTGGTTTGAAACCAATAATTATGACTAACTACACACATAGTTTAATTAGTCTGATATACGTGTTTGTGTAAGATTATATTAACGAAGAGAAAGAGGAAGACAAGACGGTTATCTAAATCGAAGCGTGTCACTTAGGACCTGGAAGCGGTACATATCACCTCACAAAACTAAAAACGGAAGTAGAGAAATGTTTACATAACGTTGTTGTATTCAGCGGTAAGCCCCCAAAATGCCCTGGTACGGCCGAGAGTGGGGAGAGTCACCTCTCCCTCTCGAAATGCTCTCATATGGCCACGCGAATATATAGCCTCTGCCAGGGAAGTCCTACTCATTGCCTTCTCGTGGCAGGGGTGTTGTTCACAAAAGTGAGAGGAAGAAAAACGAATGTCCGGCGCTTTAACCGGGTTGGTGGACAAGGCGAGTCCACCTATGGGAGTTGGAAAACTCTGATTCCAAACCAATGGTGCACATGAGCTCCAGGATCCTGAGGGAACAAATGGCGTATAAATCATTCGTTGGTCACCGGCTACCATGGGACTGAATCTCCTCACGATGTTCCACTACCTTGTGGATCAGACCTCTAGGTCAAAGGCTCTGGGTGTGGCCCCTAAGAAAATCACCTGCTTCAGTTTGGGCACCTGAGCAGTATCACAGCCCTCACACAAATCGAATGAGATTTGTGCGGCTCATATGTATCTGGTATCCCCTTGTACCAATATTTATGTATATAAATAAATAAATAATAAATTCAGTAGTAAATACGCGGTAAGTGAAATGGGACGATATTCACTAAAATTATAAGTCGATATTGTAGACTTATGAAACTTACTCGACTAGTTGCCTGGATAGCATGAAGTATTCGTGCTAATTCTGATTTGGAATAAATATGAGGATCCTCAATTATACTCAAACGCCATAGTCGATCAACTAAACTTTCTGCTTCAACAGTTGCTTCAGAAGCACTACACTCTTTATCCAACCATAAGTGACCTTCCCTCAAGGGAACAGGAGCACGAGCGATCTTAAGAATTCGGAAATAGCGTTCTCCAACATTAGAACCAACAAGGTAGATGTGAGAGGGGCTTTCATAAACACTGATACTCTTCATCCAATTTATGTATGGTACCTCCATAGCTGAAAAAATGCACTAAGTTATTCTCAATAATGCCATTAAGGATAGAAAATTTCAACAAAAATGAACGCAAAAAAATTAAAACGTATTTTAATAATCACTCGGATGAAAATCCACGCAAGAATCAGATATTAAAAATGAGTTAGTTATCACCTCTTCACAAATGGATACAACTCTCCTGGTATACATATTCAAAAGTAGGTTCGATGAAGAGAGATCCTCATGCCCAAGATGAGCATAGAACTCCGCCTGTAGCTCTTCTAGAGTTACTGCCGGTCCCAAGCCCGGGTAAAGGAGGAGGGTTGGGCATGGGGTTAGCGACCCCATCCCGTAGAAAAGCTAACTCGCTAAAAAAACGCTAACCAGAAAAAATAATCCAAACCATTTAAACTCTGCTCTGGGAGTTGAAGGAATAATGACGTCTCATGATGAAAGCCGAAATTCTTCGGAAGTCACGAGACCGATGCACCTTCTAACAACCAGAGCAACACTCTTTATAGGTACATGGAACGTCCGGACAATGTGGGAAACAGGAAAGACCAGCCAAATAGCAATGGAAATGAGGAGATACAACTTGGCAGTACTCGGAATCAGCGAAACCCATTGGACACAAACTGGACAACAAAGGCTAGGTACAGGAGAGATGCTGCTGTACTCCGGTCACGAAGGCGAAAATGCTCCACACACTCAGGGAGTTGCTCTAATGCTGTCCAGAGAAGCAAGAAATGCACTTGTGGGATGGGAATCTTATGGACCCAGGATAATCAAAGCATCATTCAGAACAAAGAAGCAAGGGATCACAATGAACGTTATCCAATGTTATGCACCCACCAATGATAGCAACGACGATGATAAAGATCAGTTCTATGAAAGGCTGCAATCAATTATAGCAAAGTGCTCACGAAAGGACCTCACCATCCTTATGGGAGATCTAAATGCTAAAGTTGGAGTGGACAACACAGGATATGAAGATGTAATTGGACGACATGGACTAGGAGAGAGAAATGAAAATGGGGAGAGACTTGCAAACCTATGTGCATTCAACAAATTGGTTATAGGCGGCACAATATTCCCACACAAACGCATACACACAGCTACATGGATCTCACCGGACCACACCACAGAGAACCAGATTGATCACATCTGTATCAACAAAAAATTCCGAAGATCAATGGAAGATGTGAGAACCCGGAGAGGAGCTGACATAGCTTCAGATCACCACCTGGTTGTGGCCAAGATGAGACTGAAGCTAAAGAAAGACTGGACAACTGGACAAACAGCACTACAAAGGTTTAATACAGCCTTCCTTCGAGATACTGACAAACTCCATGAATTCAAGATAACTCTCAACAACAGGTTCCAAGCTCTACAGGATCTACTGAAAGAACAAGAAACTACTTTGGAGGACAACTGGAAAGGGATAAAAGAAGCACTAACTTCAACGTGTCAGGAGGTTCTTGGTCCTAAGAAGCACCATCACAAGGAATGGATCTCTATGGGGACCCTGGACAAACTTCAAGAAAGGAAGAACAAGAAACTAGCAATTAACAACAGCCGAACACGAGCAGAGAAAGTCAAAGCACAAGCAGACTACGCAGAAGCAAACAGAGAAGTGAAGAAAAGCATTAAAGCCGACAAGCAGAAATACATGGGAGAACTAGCAACGGCGGCGGAAAAAGCTGCAAGAGAAGGGAATATGAAACAACTATATGATACAACGAAGAAATTGGCAGGGAGATATAGCAAACCAGAGAGACCAGTCAAAGACAAAGAAGGAAAGACAATCACTGAGATTCAGGAACAGAGGAAAAGATGGGCAGAATACTTCGAGGAACTGCTGAATAGATCAGCCCATTGAATTCACCGAACATCGAAGCAGCCCACACTGACCTTCCAATAGATGTCACTCCACCAACGATCGAAGAAGTCAAGATGGCCATCAGACAAATCAAAAGTGGGAAGGCGGCAGGACCTGACAATATACCAGCAGAAGCACTGAAGTCAGACATTGAAATAACTGCAAACATGCTTCACCTTCTATTCAAAAAAATTTGGGAAGAGGAACAAGTGCCAACGGACTGGAAAGAAGGATATCTCATCAAGATACCAAAGAAAGGAGATCTGAGCCAATGTGAGAACTACAGAGGCATCAGTTTGTTATCAGTACCAGGAAAAGTTTTCAACAGAGTGCTGCTGAATCGGATGAAAGACGCAGTAGACGCTGAACTTAGGGATCATCAGGCTGGATTCCGTAAGGATCGGTCGTGCACAGACCAGATTGCGACACTACGGATCATCGTTGAACAATCAGTTGAGTGGAACTCATCACTATACGTCAACTTCATTGACTATGAGAAGGCGTTTGACAGCGTGGATAGGAGAACATTATGGAAACTTCTTCGACACTATGGAGTTCCTGAAAAGATTGTCAACATTATCCAAAACTCATACGATGGATTACAGTGCAAAGTGGTGCATGGAGGACAGCTGACAGATGCATTTCCAGTAAGGACCGGAGTCAGACAAGGCTGTCTACTCTCCCCATTTCTCTTCCTTCTAGTGATTGACTGGATTATGACGAATTCGACATCCGAAGGGAAATACGGAATACAATGGACTTCTCAGAATCAATTAGATGATTTGGACTTCGCAGATGACCTAGCCCTCCTCTCTCATACACACGACCAAATGCAGATGAAGACAGCAAATGTAGCAGCAGCCTCCGCATCGATAGGCCTCCCAATTCACAAAGGAAAAAGCAAGATTCTCAAATGCAACACGGAGAACACCGACCCAATCACACTTGATGGCGAAACTCTGGAAGAGGTGGAAACATTCAAGTACCTGGGGAGCATCGTTGATAAACAAGAAGGATCGGATGCAGATGTAAAGGCAAGGATTGGCAAAGCAAGGGCAGCATTTCTACAATTGCAGAACATATGGAACTCAAAACAACTCTCAACCAATTTCAAGGTCAGAATCTTTAATACGAACGTCAAGACAGTCCTACTGTATGGAGCTGAAACGTGGAGAACTACTACGGCCATCATCAGGAAGGTACAAGTATTTATAAACAGTTGTCTATGCAAAATACTCAACATCCATTGGCCGGATACTATCAGCAACAGCGTTTTATGGGAGAGGACAAACCAGCTTCCAGCTGAAGAGGAAATAAGGAAAAGACGTTGGAAGTGGATCGGACATACATTAAGGAAATCACCAATGTGCATCACGACTCAATCTCTAACTTGTAATGGTGAAGGGAAGCGGAAAAGAGGAAGGCCAAAGAACACACTACGCCGGGAAATAGAAGCCGACATGAAAAGGATGAATAGCAACTGGAAAGAACTGGAAAGGAAGGCTCAGGACAGAGTTGGATGGAGAATGCTGGTAAGCGGCCTATGCTCCTCGACGAGGGGTAACAGGCGTAGTAAGTAAGTAAGATGAGCATAGGCTGTCCAGTTTGTTATCTTTTAAATTTTAAACTGAAACCGGGTCATTATATAGTCATTATCTAGGACTTAGCCTTATCTAGTCTATAAAAATTCAGATTATTCTACTGCCTTCTCCAATAAAGTTATTTTAAGTCCCAGTGGCCACATGTTCGAACACCATTCTACATAGGTTAGTTTGGGAGGAAGACTGATATAACTAGTCTCCTAAAGTATGGCTCAAGGCTAAGTACACAAAATTATGCTTAGCAAATGAGTTATAAACATTTTTACTCAATACGGCAAGAAATACAGATATTTCAGCAAATACACCAGCTTCACAACCTATCAGGATATTAATGCTTGGCCGATATGTTTGTGGTCAAGCATGGCAACTAAGTGATCTCTCTTACTTGTTTTACTAAGTCCAGCCACTAAACATCAAATCGATATAGGAGCTGAGATATTGATCGGCGATTTAGGAACCTAGCTTGCTGATACAATGGCCAAGGTCATAAATGACTGGGGAGTGGCCTACACTACATTTATATACATATTTTTTATATCACCTAGGCCAGAATTATCTCCAAACGATCTTTTTAAATCCACAGGACATAAGATACACTCTACAGTTAGGGTGTATATAAAATAAACCGGGTAAGTGATAGTGAGGTTAGACGCAGGGTATTAGGGAATGATGGTAAATCAGTTGATGAGGTCATGAATCTTCATCGACTGAGATGGTTGGGCCACGTGTTACGTGTTACCACGACGCGCAATGTTGACTAGTGTAGGGGATGGTTGGAAGAGAGTAAGGGGCAGCCAAACCAAAACATGGCATCAGTGCTTGAAGTCACTAGGTTCTAGTCTGAGCCATGTTGGTAGATGCAGACTACCTGGTTGGGGTCCGCGTGACTATCGTAACCAATGGTTGGAGACTCTGGATGACATGGCTCAGAATCGATCACAATGGCGTAGGTGTATACACTTTTTATCTTCCCTTAAACTATGAGATTAAAATTGCTTCATAACTTTTTTCCTTCCTATACTATATCCTTATATACAACCTTTCTTTATATATTCCCACCACTAAATTAACTATTTCTATGAATCTGGTGTTCATCTTGTTGTGCTAACGAAGTATGGCAACTTGGACCAATGCATATATGTGCCTGGTCCTACGTTGTCGCTGACTGAAAATAAACATAGAATTAAATTATATCTTGGAACCCAATCCTACCCTGCAATACTTAATTGTGAATTCATCATAAAAACTAATGATCGTTAAAAATCAAAACGCTGAAGTTTATACCTATTTTGAAGGTACGGTTTATATTGGAGGGCCCTACACCAAAATAAAACTCGCATATAACGGTCCTCACTGAGTAGAGATCGTTACATGTGATGAACTAAGACAAACAGAACAAGAGCCAACGAATTAGTAGGCAAACAAGAAGCACTGAAATTTGATGGTGAAGGTAATTGATGACAATTACTAATCACGCAAACGTGAGGCTAGGAAAATTGTTTTAAGTATATTTATACCGTAATCAAAACTAAAAATTGTTAATCCATGATTTTAAAAGCATTTTCTATATGTGCATTAAGTCGTTGTAGAGACTTGTTTCTAATAAGGTAATTTTAACTCCTAATGTTTACCAGACTACTGGCGAATCTCCAACCTTGAGATTTTTAATCTCGAGCCAACGTAATTCAAATGATTCAAATGGTTCAAATGGTTCAAATGGTTGAGGACGGAATAGAAGAAGCTTTCGCTTAACGGGCTTCCGTGTCTGGTAGCAGTGGATCACCAATACCTCCAGGCAAGAACCTAGGTATATGAACGATAATAGAGGGAGAAAAAAAAGAATTTGGTAAATCATAATAATATGTTATCCTTAGTCCTTAAGAATAAGTCAAGTTTTCTCTTAAAGGACTCCTGGGAGGTCGCTTGGACTAGCTCAGTTGGCAGCGAATTCCAGCACTTGACAACTCTAACGGAGTAGAAGTTGTGTCTGCAGTCTGTTCTGCTATGTAGGGTCTCCAATTTCTGGGTGTTACCTCTGAGGTTAGTGTTACGACTAAGCTTAAGAAGGTGTTTAAGGGGATGACCAGAAGTATTAAGGATACTATAAGTCATAAGAAGATCACCTCTAAGACGCCTATACTCTAACGGGTAAAGGTTAAGTGATTTGAGGCGCTCTTCATAAGGTTTGAATTTGAGACCCCGAACTGATTTCGTGGCTCGACGTTGTATACGTTCCAGAGTGACCTTATCCTTTTGGAGGGAGGGAGGAAATACTATGTTTCCGTACTCTAAGTGGGGACGAATAAAACTGTTGAAGATTATGTGGAAGGTTCTACAGTCAAACTGGCCAAAAATGCGCTTCAATGTTACCAGTGCAAGGTTTGCTTGAGAGGCGTTTTTGTCACAGTTCGCGTATGATTTCAGGTCGTAGGGTACCAACACTCCTAAATCTTTTTCAACTTGGGAAACTTCTAGAGGGGAGTTACCTAAGTTATAACTATAGTCTGCAACATGTCTCAGATGGACTACCTTACACTTTGAAGTGTTGAAGGTAAGTCCGTTGTCGTCTGCCCAACTTTGAAGTCGAGTCAGATCCTCCTGCAGAACTAGTATATCATTGTGAGTACGTATCTCTCTCAAAAGTTTCACATCATCAGCAAAAAGCAATAAATCAGATGAAACTTGTTGAGGAAGATCGTTAATATAAATCAAGAAGAGAAGAGGTCCTAGTATTGAACCCTGGGGGACCCCACTAGGACATTCCATAGCCTGAGAGAGAGTGAAGTTAACCCTGACCTTAAAATGTCGGTTTTCTAGGTATGAAGTGATCCAGTCAATTAAAGGGGGTTTTATACCCAATCGTCCAAGCTTCTTGATAAGACATGCATGGTTGACCCTATCAAAAGCTTTTGAGAAGTCCAGGTAAATGACGTCAACCTTCCCCTTGCGATCAAGGACGGTTGTCCATCTATCCACCGCAGTCAGCAGGTTGGTCATACAAGAATGACCTTTTCTGAAACCATGCTGTTGAGGCGAGAAGAACTTTGAGGATGATAAGTATTCTAGTATACCGTCGTATACTAGGGATTCCATAATTTTGAAAGGTATGGAGAGAAGGGCCATTGGTCGGTAGCTTGAGGGTTCACTGCGTCGACCTCCTTTGAAAATTGGTGTGATGTGGGCCAGCTTCCATATTTCCGGTAGTTTGCCTCTGCTTAGCGAGTGTGCAAACATCACGCTAAGTGGTGTCGCCAGGATTGAAGCTGCTTCCCTCAATACGGCGGAATGAACCATGTCCGGACCAGGAGAAGTGTCTTTCTTTAGGTTCTGCAGTTTACGGAGCACCAAGTCAGCACTCAGGTCCACTTCGGAAAGTCCTGTACAGGTGCAGGTGAAGCTTTCGTCAGTATGGTTGATGTGGGTCAGTTGGAATGTCCGGGAGTAATGTTCAGCCAAAAGGTTAGCGGCATCACTGTCGTTGTTGGTCGGGCCATTAGGACCAAGCAGTTGGGAAACTCCAGTTTTGCCTTGTCGAAGAGAAGCTGCATAACTGAACAAGCTTTTCGGATTGGAGACGAATCTATCGATAAGCTTGGTCTGGAACTGCAGCCTGTCTTCTCTTATTGCCTTTGTGCATGTGTTCCTTATATGTTTGTATTGCCTGTACGCGCCGTAGTTATCCGTTCGTTTATATTCAGCCCAACAATGCCTTTTGCGGCTTAACAAACGACGAGTGCGGTTCTTGATGATTGCAGGTTGCTTGTAGCTTTTTAGGACCATTTTAGAAACTGAATGCTCAGTAGCACATAAAATCGTGTGCAGTAAAAAATCCCAATGAGCATCCACTTCAATTTCAGGGCGAACATCCCAATCCACCTGTTGAAGATAGTCCTGTAAAGCTAACACGTTCAACCGTTTGAAGTTCCAGCGCTTGTTGCTAGTAGGATATCGTAGCTCCGTCTTGCTGATAAAGCTGAATGATAAGACGGCGTGATCACTTTTGCCCAGGGGAGCCAGGATTGAGAGGTCGTCAACTAGGAATTCTTCGTTTGTGAATACCCAGTCTAAGCGTGACGGCGTCTGACTGTTTCTCCAACGGGTTGCCGACTTTACATTTTCAAATAATCCCAGGTCGCCGATAAGGTTGAAGAACAGAGCTTCAGTAGAGTTGGCACCACCAATGTATGTATGTTCCACGAAGTTGATTCTAGGGAGATTGAAATCCCCTAGAATCAGGATATGAGAGAATCCAAGACGCGTAGAGCGAGTTAATCCTTCCAGCAGACGTTTGTCATATTCGATGTCGGCAGTGGGCTTCCTGTAAACGACCCCAACTAGGCACCTCGAGGTGGTAGATAACCTTACTGAGCACCATACTGACTCGTCAAGATTGTGAAACTCTTGGTTGTGAAGTTGGTGCGCATCCAGGCATGACCGTACGTATAGTGCTACCCCACCCCCCATTCCTGTTTTTCTGTCGTTGCGAAATAAAGACATCCCAGTTATTGCTAACTCTTGGTCCGTAAACTGAGACGTTATCCAAGTTTCGGATATTCCTATCAGATGGGCATCATTAGCGTTGCTAAGTTCACGTAGCTCATCCATTTTGTTTGGCAAGCTCGCGGCGTTCGTGTATAGGCAGTTTATGCTTTCAATTTGGAACGCGTGAGCCTCTTCTTGTTTGTCTATATGAGCCGTGTGTGAGTGGACAGGTAGTCTACCTATACGATGTTTACCGAGTTGGTAGTCCCTGTCCTATTCGGTTGAGGACCGAATAGAAGAAGCTTTCGCTTAACGGGCTTCCGTGTCTGGTAGCAGTGGATCACCAATATCTCCATGCAAGAACCTAGGTATATGAACGATAAAAGAGGAAAAAAAAGAATTTGGTAAATCATAATAATATGTTATCCTTAGTCCTTAAGCATAAGTCAAGTTTTCTCTAAAAGGACTCCTGGGAGGTCGCTTGGACTAGCTCAGCGAATTCCAGCGCTTGACAACTCTAACGGAGTAGAAGTTGTGTCTGCAGTCTGTTCTGCTATGTTGGGTCTCCCATTTCTGGGTGTTACCTCTCAGGTTAGTGTTATGACTAAGCGTAAGAAGATGTTTAAGGGGATGACCAGAAGTATTAAGGATACTATAAGTCATAAGAAGATCACCTCTAAGACGTCTGTACTCTAATGGGTAAAGGTTAAGTGATTTGAAGCGCCCTTCATAAGGTTTGAATTTGAGACCCCGAACTGATTTCGTGGCTCGACGTTGTATACGTTCGAGAGTGACCTTATCCTTTTGGAGGGAGGGAGGAAATACTATGTTTCCGTACTCTTGTAGTGACCTGCCAGTCTCGATAAGAACACGATTGGAATAACGGAAACAATTATTATTATTGTAACCAATTGTACCAGAGATTGTTTTACTTTATTTGTTTAACTGTGTCAGTTTCACTTCTGCTTTCGCACTCCGCCTTGTTTGGTTCGAACTTGCTCACGCACTGCCTGTTCGCCTGTACTCTTTGGCACGTCTCGGTATTATTTCGATACCACGAGATCGCCAATAAATACAATTGATCTGGACTAATAAAGCCTTCTGATTTACAAAGGAACCAAGTCGTTTTTGGGCGCGTAAACGAATTGTAGTGGTGATCATAGTCCGTCTTCGACTCGACATCCACTACAAACTGGTGAGCCGTTGTTGGAACACGCAATACAGCTGGTAACCCAATCCATCGAGCACAAGTCAAACTTGGCCAATTCTCCAAGCCAGATCAATCCGGTTAGTCTATTTATCTATCCACATCTGTTGCATATATTCGTATTGATATTTTTCAATATATAATATCTTGGCAACTTACCATGGTGGATAACGATAAGAGTAGTATAAATATAATAGACTCCGAGGTACAGGTTATCAACTTTCGACCGGTTCCTTTCATCCCTCATGATCCAGAAGTCTGGTTCGCGGCACTGGAATCTCAATTTGAGATCCGCCGCATAACCAACCAAAGGCAAAAGTACGCCTACGCTTTGGAATCATTGCCCGGGGATCACTTAACCGCTGTCCGTGAGGTTGTCCTCAATCCGAACGTTCCGAACGTCTACGACCTTCTTAAGGATGCTATCCTTCGACATTTCCTCCCATCAAGAGAGGAACGATTGAGGACTCTCTTAGCACGTCACCCTATTGGTGATGCTAAGCCGAGCCACCACCTCACGCGCCTGCAGTCCCTTGCAGGAAACTCGACAGCAGACTCTGAGATAGTCAAAGAGTTGTGGCTCGAAGCCTTACCAGTCAGTATCTAGCCAACCCTTACGGCCCTGCTCGAGGACACCCCACTGCACAAGGTGGCCCTCATAGCAGACAAGATTCTAGCACGTGTTAGCGCCGAAGACAACTATATTGTTGCCTCTACTTCCCGTTCTAACATTGATCTCGATGCTAGACGACCTCCGGCTCATGGGGATAGGGACAGATATATCCATACTCGTCTCAGTTTCCGAGACCGCGCAAATGTGCCAGCCCCCTACGTCCCCCGACCCAGGTCACGATCTCGAACAGCCGTAACGACTCGCCCCAAGCGGGCATCTTCCAAGCCACGCCAGAAGGCGGTTTCGGAAGCGAGTCCAGGTTGGTGCTGGTTCCACCGTGCCTTCGGGGCCGGTGCCCGTCATTGTCGAGCTCCCTGCTCATACAAGGCGGGAACTTCCCGAGCCGGTGAGTAAATACGGCC